CTTAGCTCACTGCGCTATGAACCCTGTGACCTCAGTTCCATTCAAGGCCACGGCTTACATCAGTGGCAAATATGTGAACTTGTCCCGGGCATCCCCTGGGTAGACTCATAAATGAGTGCCTGGCGCGGTGTGTAAACATAAGTCTTCTGGGAGACAAAGGCGGCCCCGCATAGTATTGACCACACAAACCCCCCTTAATGTGTGCCGTGCCGGCCTTCATCGGCGCTCGCTAACGGCACTTGCCCGAACAGCGCGTAAAAGGCTATTTGGGGGATCTTGTCTCTGCAGGTTGAACCGTTTCTGAAAGAAGGATTCCCCGTGCCATATGAGCCATAGGGGATAGTCGACCATGCTGCAATGCTTGTCAGCGCGGGTTGGTAAAGATTGGGGAGCATCGCGTGGCACAGCAGTGGATCTTGCTACACTGCTCTCTTGCCCACAGCTCCTACAGCACCAGTATATTCACGGTGGTCACCGATCCAAGCACTATCCAGCCTCAAGCCTGCCTAGCCTCAGAGATCTGACGAGATTTGGCCAATTAAATGCGATCTGATCATTGGCATGGTGGCTACGCACACGCCTGTAATCCAACCCTGGGGAGGCGAGAGTTTGTGCATTGCACAAATGTTGTGAAACTTCCTTTCCATGGACGTCGAGGAGCCTCTTACCCTGGCTCGTCCGGAGAAGGCGGTAGAGCAAAGTGTGGACTCCTATCATCTGAAGCTTCTGTATGGGATAGTGTTGCTCCCTCGCAAGCGTGGGTTTTCTCTGGGTATTCCAGTTTACTCCGGCGTGTATATAAACGCTCATTAATTCGGCTGAAAGCATCTTAATCTATATACATTTTCTTGAGTGTTGCAATTTGTGCAAGGTTGCGAAATGCGATTTTTTTTGTGAATGACGCTACTGTATAAATAACGCTCGTCATTTAACCGCTCACTATTTATGTTTGTGTGTGGCTAACCTCGTATGGGCCCTCGCCGTAAGCAATCCGGAGAGTGCCTAAGTCATATTTTTGTCGGTAGTTTTTGTTGTTGTTGCGCTACACCCTGAAATGGAGAAGACACTGGTGACACGTGAACACTGACCGTGTTTGACAACAGCGCGCCTGTAACTGAATCGCACCATCTCGTAATTTCTCTGGAATCTTAGAGAGGGTTGAGCCCCGACAGCGCCTGGATGGGTGAGCACCATGCGTGCCAGGTTGCCACAGGCTACGCGGTGGGCAGCGGTTGGGCGGTGCAGCAACATCCATTGTTGTCAGATCCATTGCTCGCCTCCTTCGCCAGTCCGCATTGACCAGCTTGGTGAAGTACGGTCAATTAACCCCCCCCCCCTCCCCCCTCCGCAACTCACATTATGGCGTAGGGAGGCACCTCATCAAGCAGTGGATGTGCAAATACGTGCACATGTATTCAACTTAATATTGTGGCGCATGGCTGTGTTTCAGCGTTTTGGAGGCAAGGGTTCATAATAAAGGTTTTTTGGGTTAGATCGCGTTTATTTATAAATGTGTCGTAACCCTCCACCACCCGACACGGCCAATCAGCAAAAAAAAAAGTGTCACGTTGACAAAAGACAAATAATTCACTACTTCAGCCCACCGGTGTGTTGAAGAGTTAATCCACATTTACAGTTTGAGTACGACGTTTCGCTGGTAAATACATCCAGCATCATCGGGCAATTCGCCAGAATTGGGTTGGTGGATCAGATGGAGATTTGCAGAGCTCCCAAGTCCACAGGGCTGCAAGGTGGCTAGGAGCTGGCAGTACAGCAAATTATATTTTAAAATCCATATTTTCAGCGGCTTTCAGTGTTATCCCTTCGGTTATTCTGGTCTCCTCACACATGCATAAACGCTAGTTCGTGGAGTTGGCCAAATGTCCCAACGTATGGCCACAGAGCTTAGGCAATTGTTGGCACTGGTTCAGTTTGCCCTCCCACTTGTCTGTGGTTCCTGCGACTCGGAATAATTCTCATGAACTATTCGCATTGGCGAGATGTTAACTACCTCGCCTGGTATACAGGAGGTCATGGGTTCGATCCCGACCTTGATGCCTGCTGTATATTTGGTGTTTGCGTGTTCTCTCTCTCTCTCCGTGGCCGCGTGGATTTTTCTCTGGGTCCTCCGGGTTTTCCCTCCATATTTATAAACGACGTGCGTTTAGAGTATTTGGCTGCTATAAATGTACACGTGATAAGCCACTTCGTTGGGTTATGATTTGTGATGGCCAGGTTGCTTCTGAAAAAGAGCTATGTAGCTCAGTGGGCCTGACATGGTAAAAAGAAAAAAATAGAGAAACATTTATTTAATCTTGATTTGAAGCTTTCGTGACTGCAGGAATCCATACTCTTTGGTTCTTTCGGTAAAGTCACGTAGGTATAAAATAAAATAACATTGATTTAGTTTAAATAATAAATGATTTTTGCGGGGTCGTGTCCGGCCCGCGTGCCTTGTGTTCAGGCACACTTTGACCGTGTTGGCAGTGACGCTGCGCACTCATGCCTCTCCATGCCAGGCGAAGATGTCATGCATCAATGTTCGCGATCAGCCCTTGGTTTCTCCCACAGCAATGACCTTGCACTCCCTGAGAACATGACTCGTGAGACCCTAAGGCAGTGTTTTCAGAGTGCTTGCTTGAGCCAGACTAGGTGTCCGCCCTAAATGTTTTTAGGTGGAGCTACAATGTAATAACAATAATTTATGAAAATGTGGTGCGTAGTTTTCGTTCACTCTGTCAGCAAGAGAATGGTTCGGAGGCACGGGAAACCACAGACTAGCGGAAAAGCAGCCACAACCGGTGCCAACAATTTCCCAAGCTCTGTGGTCCTATATTGGGACGTTTGTCGAACTCCATTCAAGTGTGTTTATATACCCGATCGTTATACAATCGTCAGACGTGTTACGTTTTTTTTTTGGTCACTGCTCCGATATTGCGCGCACTGCAAATTAAGCACTGGAGCACGGAGAACGCCACGTTTTACGCACGCAGCTGGAAAATACTCGGGGGGGGGGGCGGGGGACGGGGGGGGGGGCAATGAATGAAAGCCCTTGTGGCTGTTACTGTCCAGTGGAGGGACAGAGCCGAGCCTATTTATGTTTCCTCATCACGGTCGTCCCCGCCGACCCTGGACGACGCTCGTAATGGTCATAAATTCTCACCGTCGTCGGCCCAGAACCGCCCGCCCGCCCACCCGCCCACCCACAGGCCCCGTTTCTGAAATACACGTCTCATTTTCTACTGCGTCGTGATGGAGAGCCACTGCAATTTTCTCTCGTTACCCGCACGGATGGTTTTATAATCGCGATAATTCACCGGAGAGCCTGCCGTGCCGCGGTCAGAGACGGCTCGAGCGCCGTGTCGAGCCGTGGGGCTCTGCTGGGGAGGGGCGGCACCCACACCGGTCGTCTACTCGGATGGCGAGCCTACATGTGGCCAGATGTTCGCCTGGTATACAGGAGGTCATGGGTTCGATCCCGACCCTGATGCCCGCTATATATTTGGAGTTTGCATGTGTCTCTCCCCGCGGTCACGTGTATTTTTCTCCGGGTCCTCCAGTTTTCCCCTCCACATTTAGAATCAACGTGCGTATAGTTTAGTTTATTGTGCTCCCTCAAGAGGTGGTTGGCCTGGCTCTGGGTGTTCATAATGGCCGTGTTGGAGATTCCGAGCCGCCACCACTGAGTTCCAAGGTTTCAGATCTGGGTTTCGGTCGCCTTTGATCGAATTAGGTTCTCGATTTCAGTTAGCTGATGGTCTCAATATGGTTACTAATTACCTATTTAGCTTTTTTATCTTACCAGGTAAGGCCCACTGTGCTATATAGCTCTTTTTCAGAAGTGACCTAGCCACAACTGATAGCTCAATGAAGTGGCTTATCATATGGAAATTTGTAGCAGCCAAATACTCTAAACTCATGTTCTTGAATGTGGAGGGTAAAGCCGGAGGACCCGGAGAAAAATCCACGTGACCACGGGGAGAGAGAACATGCAAATTCCAAATATGCAGGTGCCAGGGTTGGGATCAAACCTATGACCTTCTGCATACCAGGCGAGGCAGTTAACATCTCGCCACCGCGGTGCCCCCGAAAACAATAATAATGACACATTGCTGACTGGACTGGTTTTTCACTTAATTTGGTTGGACGACGAGATGTGTGCTGGATCATGGGATGTGATGGGCCGTGGGCCGTGTGATGGGTCGTGGGCTGTGTGAAGGACATTGGGCTGTGTGATGGGTCGTGGGCTGTTTGGTGGGCTGTGCGAAGGACCTTGGGCTGTTTGATGGGCCGTGGGCTGTTGGCTGTGTGATGGGTCGTGGGCTGTTTGATGGGCCGTGGGCTGTGCGAAGGGTCGTGGGCTGTTGGCTGTGTGATGGGTCGTGGGCTGTGTGATGGCACTACGGGATGTGGTGCTGGTGAACGTTGCTCCGTGTTATGAAAGTCACCCTGTTCCGGGGAAATGAAAGGCAAAAGAATCGGCCGAGCGGCAGTGGAATTGGGAGCGTTGGTAGTCGGCGTTCGTCACCGTTAGCGTTTCGTCAAGTAAGCAACACGGATGAACACGGAAAAAGAAAAAAACCCCATTTGGCACATTTCCTTGATGTACATTCACAGAAGGATATAAATTAGATGGTTTGTGGGTTTCTGAGTAAGTGGGTACATGTGTGGGTGATTCAGCGAGTGGGTAGGTAAGCGAGTGCGTGCTTTGGGTGTGTGAGTTACTTCCTTTCTCTCCTTCACTTTCTCTGTCACTCGCCCTTTCCCTCCCGCTCTCCGTGTGTATTTCTGTACTCCGAGACGGCGTTTTGTTACGTTCTCGCCGCATTACAATCGCAAGTTGTTGATTTTATTGTTGGAGCTTTTGAGCGAGCGACGGGGAAGGGAATGATCATCGGTGCGTTCGTCCATCGCGAGTTCTTTTCCACCGAAACTTCTGACGTCACGTTTTTTCCCTTCCATTCCCCCCCCCCACCCCCCCCCCCCCCGTTCTCTTCCAGGTGATTTTTCTCCATGGCCTTGGAGACACAGGGTACGTGGCAAACGCCGTCTTGCCATCGTCACCGTCATCATCAATAATGCACAACAATGATACCGCCGGGCGGTGTCGCGTCCTCCGCTTGTTGCAGAAGTTCACGCGGTTCTAGCCCAGCGACCACCCCTGGTTAATGCCGCGCGGTCTACTTTCACCCTGTGGCATTTGTTCGAAAAAAAATAGAGTAAATGGCGTGCGCGTGCCGGCTTCACTGTCCATTTCCCACCAGTTTTGAACATTCCTCGCAAAAGATTACCGAGTCGGGTCAAGCCACGTGGCACCGTCAGTCGTGCGACTGCTACCGTGAGACTACTACCGGTGCCCGTCTGTGAAAAGCAGGATGGCACAAATTTGCTACGAATGTGCTCAAGATTCGTATGTACGTATGTAGCCAACTGTGCCGATCGGAGGTGCGGGGGAAGGACAATAAACTGAATGCAGAAATCGGTTCTAAAGAAATTCGATTTGATACCACGAGAGTCCCCTTCGTCGGATGAGCCAGGTGTGGCGGCGGCGGCGGCGGCGCCAGCGATGCACGTCCGTTAGCCACCGCGGGACAGGGATGGTAGATCACGCGGCGATTTGTGGCACCCGCAGGCAGTACAGCAAATGGGTTCATGCACCTGTCCGTGCGATTCATCAAGGAATCTCAGTGCGCCATGCACAAAGTTAGGAAATATAAATACCACAAAGCCCAGAGTCCACTGGTCGTACATGGGAAGTGTAGGCCAGGCGAAACAGCTGAGTCTTGAGAGAAGACATAAACGGGGCAAATGAGCTCGCCTGTGTCACCACTTGTGGGGAGGGCATTCTGTAGTCTTGGCGCAGCGCATGCAAGAGCTCGGTCACCCTAGGTGCAGAGTCTAGTTCTCGGTATGTGGAGCAGATATCAACCAGCATATCGGAGAGGTAGTGACGGTACGCGCAGGTGTTTCAGCTGTTGAATGTAAAATGGCGCGAGGCCATTTAAGTCCTTGTATGATCGCAGCACTACTTGAAATTGTCTGCGAAATTTTATTAAAAGCCAATGCAGAGATTGTATTATAGGGATGGTAATGTGTTCACGGGATGAAGCTTGCTTGGGCATTGTGGCGGCCGCGTTCTGGACCAGTTGTTCGGCCCAAGATCTTTGTCGGAACCCCGAGGCATGGTGGGTTTTCTCCAGGTTCTTCAGTTTCCTTTCACACTAGTCGGACGAACATCCCGATGCAGCAGCACCCTCTTGAGTACTCGCATTAGACTCTTTCAGAATTTGTGGATAAATAGGTGGAATTGTTACAGGCTTATAACCAATACCATGGATATAAAGCTCCAAACGCTGTGTGTGGCTCAATTGAGATACCAACTCCAGGGTTTAATTGAACCACGTGGTACAGCGAGTGTGCACCGCACACACTGTGCAGCACACAATGCATATGGAATATACACACAGTACACACGGAATATACACACATGGTACACATACCAACCGCACAGTGAACGACGCAGTCGAACACGTCACGTAGCACACAGACGCGCACATCACACACCGCACACATGGTACACAGTACGCATCACACTCGGCGCACACATCACACACAGCACACGCACTCACCTCACAGTACACACAGTACACACGCGCAAAGTCATGGCGCTGTGTGTACGATGGCGAGATTACTACCTCTGCTACTGTGGATGGCTGGAGCCTCTGCGCCACTAATCTGCTTTAGGTAATATGATTAGGGGCTGGTGCTCAAAGCCACACACCGAGCCTCTATCCATTCATCTGAGCACAGGCGGTGGCATGTGGGGATTTACATTCCACAAATATGAACACAGGGAAAATTGTTTGGATCAAAATCTATTACATTTGAATGTGTGGGTTCATTTGAACTCTCGATCTACGTAACCTGAATTTGTTGAGAATGGAATCGGGTTTAACACGTGTGCGCGCTTGTCTTCTCAGGTGGGGAGCGGTAGTGTAGTTGTTAGCGCTACGCTGCGCTACGAACCCGGCGACCCGAGTTAAATTTCCACCAGTGATGATTATCTGAACCGGTCCTGGGCCTCCCCTAGGTCGACTCAGCCTCAAATGAGTACCTGGTGCTATGTGTAAACATCGCCACGAGGGAGGCAAAGGCGGCCAGGTGTTGTGGTGCTAGCCGCCCACGCTCCTTGCGTGCCGTGCCGGCCTCCGTAGGTGCTCGCTAACAGCACTTGCCCCTTCAGTCTGTTAAGTCTACACAGGAGATCTTTGTCTTCTGAGTATCATTGTCTGCAACATAGTTACAAAGTTAATTACAAAGCTGTAGTGGAACAGCAGAGCCCCTGGGCAAGAGGTTCCGGGTTCAAGACCTGGTCAACAGTTAAGCAACTCCTGACCTGTTTGCCATTAAGATAATCATTGCTGAATCAACATCATCATCTTCATCATCATCTTCATCAGAATCATCATGGCTAGTCATCATTGAATCATCACCATCATCGGAACGATTATTGTTGAATCATTATGCATCATCATGAATAACCATTTTCAGCATTATCAATAGTGAATAAACATCCATCCATCATCAGAATATTAATCATCTTTGTCATATTGTAAATAATCATCATCATCATCCACTAATACTACGATCATCATCCTCATCATCCGTTTAGAGTGGCTAAAATGGGTACAAACTGACACTGCACCACTCTGAGCGGGGTTGTCAGGAATGATCATTCTGCAAAGGGATCCCACCATGAGAATGTGGAATTTCTACCGCTGGCTCAGGACAGCCATCAGAGACGTGCACCACCAAGTAGGGATTCACTTTGACATTCAGGAAAAAAAATATTTCCCTTGACCCACGAAAGCCTCAATGGGTCTCAAATTAAAAAAAATCAGGAAGGTCCTGCATTGGAATATTTGGCCAATTCCTTCGTGAAAGATTAAACAAAACCAGAGTACCCGGAGAAAAATCGCCATGCATACGAGCGGCGAGCACTCAAAGTTCCACACAGATGGGTTCACGATATCCACTCGGTGCCATCGAGAAGCCTGGTGCAGAACACTGAGTTGTGTCCCCTTCCACCATCTACATGGCTACTTTGAGGCCCTCTTTTGTGTGAAGCCCGGCACAAATTGCCAATTTTACTCAACCCCCCCCCCAGCCCTCAGATTGACCGTAGACCTACTTGCTTTAGTGCTGCCACATGGCCTCCTGACAGCAGTCACCCAGCGGGGTTGGTAGTGTGTTTGCCTTAAATGGACATCCTCTGTTTTCTTCTTCCTTTGGTAGCCACGGCTGGGCGGAGGTGCTGTCCGAATTCAAGTCGCCGCACATCAAATACGTCTGCCCACACGCGTGAGTGATGTCTCGGCAGCACCCGCCCCCCCCTGCCCCTCCCCCTCTGCCTGCCCTCTCCCACAGGTGTCCCTCTGTATGGGCGCCATGGCAAGATGTTAACTGACTCTCCTGGTATGCAAGAGGTAATGGATTCGATCCCGACCCTGACGCCTGTATATTTGGAGTTTTCGTGTCGCGCCCCGTGGTCGCGTTAATTTTTCTCCGGGTCCTCCCATTTTTCCCTCCACATTTAGAATAAAAATGCGTTTGGCTGCTATACATTTCCACATGATAAGCCACTTTGTTGAGCGATTATTTGTGGCCAGGTCACTTCTGAAAAAGAGCTTCATAGCTCAGTGGGGCTCACCTGGTAAAATAAAAAAGAGTTTAGTTTCATCGTTTGTTCTGCACGTTTGCGTTGTTCCACTCTGTTCGCCAGCGTTCTTCCAGATCAAGTTGAGTGCTGAGATTCTTGGTTAAAATAGTTAAATACAGTGCTACTCCGGAGATCGAACTTAATTCGTTCCAGAAGGCCATTCGAACACTGATTTGTTCGAACACCGAATTAATTTTCCCCATAAGAATTTATGTAAATTACATTAATTGGTTCCAGACACAAGAAACCGCTCATTATAAAGCAGTTTTACACGAAGTTTACAGTAGATACATGCATAAAATCATACAAAAAAAAACAAGAAACACAATAAATAAATTGAATGAATAAATATATGGAATAAATGAAATAAATGAAAATGTAACTTCACTTTGCCTGTAGTAAGGAGAGTTGATGGCTTGAGTGGAAGGTGGTGAGGAGGAGGTAAAACCTTTGTCTGGGCAAGCGTCACGCACGCTGCTGCCCACACGCGTCTCAGCCGTACAGGTTCTTTCAAGTCGCGATTGCCCCGTTCGACCTCCGAATTTCGTTCGCTTTCCGGGGCAAAAAACGTTCTGAAATATCGTTCGAACACCGATTTGTTCGAGTTCTGGTGCGTTCGATCTCCTAGGTTCTACTGTAGTTTATTCTATATGCACAGATCTTGACCCAGGTCCTCGGTTCTGGTGTAACTGCGACACCACCCGACCTGGTCGGTTTGGAGTCAGGAAAACCAGAAACCCAACTTGCGACATCGCAACAATGTCCTAAGTTTGTCCCAAGATGGGATTTTTATCGTAACTCCCGAGCGAGTAAGAGAGTGTACGATATTGGTCTGTGCGTAAAGTTACGGTCTCACTCCGATATTTACTTGAGTTTTCTCAACGTTTGAGGATGGCAACTTTCAACCGTATGCGTTGTTATAAGTAGAACCGTGTGTACTCAGGCCGAAGGAACCGCAAGCGGGGAGCTCCCTGTTGAATGGTCACGATTGAGATTAACGGCTAGTGGACATCTGTGGGAAAAGAGCTTCATAGCTCATCGGATTCCTCCAGGATAAATAAATATTCTGATTCTGACTGGCTGTGTCCGGGAGCCCAGGGGTGGCTTGCAAGCGTGAGACTCAGTGGTGAATGGGATCCGGCCACCTCCCCCCCCCCCCCAAGGATATCCTTAGCAGAGATGGGCAAAACACATTAAAATGACAAACTACTAGAGAAGTGTAATGTGGATAGGTTACCAATTACATTGAGGTGTCTAATGAAGATACCAATTACAATCTACAAATGGAATGAAATAATATATTTAGATTTAATATAATTTGGATACTGCCAACCTCTGCCACCGCCTGGACTCTTTAGTGCTGCCCCGGCTATCCCGGCTGCCCCTGGGGATATGATCATTGCACTGGTTGTTGTCGTTGATGTTGGTGCTGGGTCTCGGTTTGCTTGGTGTCTCTCTTCTCTCCCGTGTTTCCCTGCTCTGACCACCTTACCTTCGTTTAGTTGTCTGGCAATTATTTTTAAGTGCCTTGAGATGCGGTTTGCATGTGGACGCTGTGCACATTGAAATTGAATTCGTTGTCGTCGTTGTTACGAGTGGCTTCATGATAACGTTGTTCGTGTTATTATATTTTTTTCTTCTTATTCTGTTTCTTCGTCATCTTCTTCTTTCATTCGCAGACCTCTCATGCCGGTCACGCTCAACCTGCGACAGATGATGCCGTCTTGGTAAGGCACGGATACGCGCACACAGCAACATGACAAAGACAAAAACCCCCCGTAGAACCTTAATAGACTCTTGTTAGCGAGCGCCTATTAAGGCTGCACGGGCACACGAGGAGGTGGTTGGCCAGCACCACGTCCGGCCGTCTTTGTCTCCCCAGTACTGATGTTTACACACCGCACCAGATCCTCATTTGAGGCTGAGTCGACCTAAGGGAGACCTGAACCGGTTCAGATAATCGTCACTGGTATTGGCCATGAGCGGGAATCGACCTCGGGTCGCCGGGTTCGTCGTGCAGCATGCTAACTGTTACACTATCGCTCCCTGCAAACACAAAAGCACACACACACACACTCAACGTGGGCCAGCAGTAGCGCATTCACCGCCCGTTGCAAGAGGTTCACGGTCTGAATCCAGCAGCCACCCTGGCTCGCCAGGAGATGGCAGCAGACCTCGCGGATTAATCTCCAATTTGTATGGGGGTGGGAGGGGGGGATAGAGTGTTGCTCCCTCGCACTTGTGGCTTTACTACGGGCGCTCCTGCCACACTCGTAAATACTCATTGTTGGTGAAACATCCCAATGTAGGGGCCACAGAGCTTGGGTAATATTGTTGGTGCCGGTTCTTACGGCTGACGTCCCTCTTAGTCTGTGGTTCCCCCCCCTGTGTCTATGAATCTAAAGCAATCTGTGTGACAAATGTGTGAATTGAAATGGAGTCCGTCACCTTTGACCTTTTCGCCGGTGAGTTACCATGGGCTCTCAAATTATGATCCCTGGCACAGGTTCGACATCATCGGCCTGAGCCCTGACGCATCGGAGGACGAGGATGGGATCAAGAGAGCGGCCGAGACCGGTTCGTCTTAATCATGAATGTTTAGCGCGTAGGCTTTTGCGACCAACATTATTCATAGTAAAATGTTTTTTGGTTAGATCGCGTAAATATAATTGTGTCATTAACCCACCACCACCACCACCACCCGACACAACCAAATTTTGTCATGTAAACAAAACTACTTCAGCACACCCGGCGTGTTGGAGAATAGACCCACAATATTTACAATTTGAGTACGACGTTTCGCTGGTGATTAATGTAAATTCACAGCTCCTTTTCCAATTCACAATAATAATATTTACGATGGATTTCTCGTGTAGAATGTGTGCGGCGAGTGGTTGACAGGTTAATGAGGCGCAGGGGCAAAGCCCGAGTATCACTCGAGCGCTGGGTTCCTGTCTGGACGTTGACTTAAGCTCTGTTTGATGGCACAGTGGATCGGCAATGTGGCTGTGATTGTGTATGTGTGTGTGTACGACTATTTGTGGGGAGCGGCAGCGTGGTTATTAGCACGTTGCGTTATGAACCCTTTCGGCCCGTTCAGGGCCAACACCAGTGATGAATATTTGAACTCGACCTAGGCCTGCCCTAGGCCGACTCAGCCTCAAATGAGTGCCTGGTGCAATGTGCAAACATCACTACTCGGGTAACAGGCGGCCGGGCGTGGTGCTGACCCACCCATCCCTTTGTGTACTGTACCGGCCTTCATAGGTGCTCGCTAGTAGCACTTGCCCCAACAGTATGTTAAGGCTATACAGGGAATCTTCATCGTTGTGCATGCCCCCCCCCCCCTATATGTCTGTGTGTGTTTGTTTGTTCTAGTTCGGGGTCTGATAGAACAGGAGATTAAAGCTGGGATCCCGTCTCACCGCATCGTACTGGCCGGATTCTCACAGGTACAGCAGCCGTCCCACCACCCACCCACCCCCCGGCGCACCTTATCTGCGCTCTCATTCCCGCTCACGAGCTTTCTTCAGCACCACGAGGACGTCTCACTTTCCACACGTGCCTCGTGCGTTAGACGCCGCGCGTCGCGCCCACTGCGACGCTTATTTCGAGACGCGCGTGTCAAGATGCACGCTTGGCGTGACGTACGTGTGTGCGTGTGTTGCGGTGTGCAATGACGTGCGTTGTGCTTGCGCGTAAGGGCGGCGCTCTGTCTCTCTACACGGCGCTCACGAGTCGGCACAAACTGGGCGGGGTGGTGGCTCTGAGCTGCTGGCTGCCCCTCCGAGACTCGTTCACACAGGTGGCGCCCTCATTACCAACACCACCATCGCCAACACCACCATCGCCACCATCATCAGTAGCACCAACACCGTCAATCATCAATATCACCATCACCAATTCCATCACCACCATCACCAGTAGCCCCACCAATGATACCGCCGCCAACATCACCGCCATCGCCACCGTCAAACACAATTACCGTACGTGGTAAGTTTTGTGAGTGCCTGGTGCAGTGTGTCAACATCACCGCCTCCTCGTGCACCATGCACACCTCGCAAACAGCGCTTGCCCCAACAGTCTGTTAGCGGCTACACGGGGGACCTTCGTTCTTGCTTGCGTCCGTACGTGTGCGGTCGTCAGGCGAGCGGTGGCGCAGCGGTTAGCGCACTGCGCTACGAGCCCGGCGGCGAATAGACTACTTCGAAACTCCTGCTCGTGACCAATAACGGTAGCGAAATATTTCAACCAGTCCCCTGGGCCTCTGCGAGGTTGAGTAGCTGTGGTGTAAACATCGGCACTGGCGAGACAAAGGAAGCGCTGGGCATGGTGTTGGCCACACCGACCCCTCATGTGCCGTACCGATTTTAACAGGTGCTCCGCTAGCGGCACTTGCCTCGACAGTTTGCTCAAGGCTACACGGGGGATCTTTGTCTTTGTTTCTACAGTTAGGTCGACTCAGCCTTGCACATTAACACCTCGTGCGGTGTGTTGGGAACGTCATCAGCACTAGGGAGACAAAATGTGGCCGGGCAGATGTTGGTGCGGTCCAAACCGCCTTGCTCATTAGGTGCGCCTGTGGCTCCCTATTGTGAATGACTCAACAGAGAAAGTCCCTGGTTTTTATCATCCACGAAGGTCATGGCCTACCCTAATCTGCATCCGTATAAACCATGCTGCACAAATGGAAAATTAAAAAACTTTCCAGTGTGCGACTGTGGTCATCCACAACAGACGCAATGCCCGATCCACAAATACGAAGGAGACATCGCAGCGATACACTCGGCTACTCCTGACGCGGTTATCTGGCTTGACCACCTGGATGTGAAATTGTAGTTTTGTAGCTCTGCGTCTATATCAGCCATACGAATAAAATAAGAGATTAGGTGCACAGTTCCGACCTTCATTAGTTGCTCGCTGACAGCAACTTGCGCCAACGGCATCTTTGTCCTTTGGTTTGGCGGCCACAGTCGGACGGGACGCACGCCGGCGTGCCGGTGCTGCAGTGCCACGGCGAGGCGGACGTTCTGGTGCCACCGCTCTTCGGGCAGCTCACGGCCGACAAGCTGCGCTCTCTCCTGGGCCCCGACGCCGTCACCTTCAAGACGTACCGTGGCCTGGGACACTCGTCCACGCAGGAGGTGTGGGGGGGGGGGGGGTGGAGCGGGGGACCGGGGGGGGGGTAGCGAGCCCCCCCTCACGCTCGCACGAGACCAAACGATTGTCCGACGGCGGTGGCGGCGGCGGCTTAATCGCTCGCTCACTCGTTGATAGATAGAGCGCTCGTTCACTCGCCCACTCTCGTGATCAAGCTCGCTCGCTGTCTCTCACGATCGGCCAGTCACTCGCTTGCACTATTGCTCATTTGCTCACCCACCCTGATCATCGATCATTCATTCGCTCACCCGCTCACCCAGACTCTTGTTTGAGCAATCCCTCCCATCCATGCAAGAAGTGGTGAGAGTGGCGATTGGCTAAGCCATCTTGCGATGGCTTAGTGTGTCGCTCTCTTGCGTGAATGCTCATTTTCTCCCTTGCTCAATCACTCGCTCGCTCAATCACTCGCTCACACTCAACGTTCCATTCGATTATTACATTGCAGCCAAAAGTGTGATGAGAGAACCCCCACTTTCACTGACGTGTGGGTCGGTCCCTAAATGTTTGATTAATGACTGAGCGATTGTGATTGTTTCTCTTCCCTTTCCCCTTGTGTCCCATTAGGAGATGATTGACGTCAAAAAATTCCTCGAAACGCAAGTCCCCGACAGCAACTAGGAGCGGCCAACTTTTGTTTGGGAGTGGACACTGTTGTTATTATTATTACTGTTATAATTATAATCGTCGTTATTGATATTTGTTTTCACAAGCCTGAAAGGCAAAACGAAACGAGAGGGCTTCACATATTCCAGCCTAAAAAAAATATATACATTAAATAAAAAATCTACGATAGAATTTGACGAGAAAATATTTATAAGCGACGTCACATTCCTGCAGTCAAGACATGACCGCGCAGTTTGTTTCCCAGGGCTTCGTTTTATCCGGAGCTATCCCGGGGACCGGACCTCCTGAAGATATATCCCACGCGGTGCCAGCTTAGCGCTCCGTGATTTATCCCAAACTCCCCTAACCCCCGCGGGAACAGGAGAAAAACGACTCCTGTTTTTTTACTTTCCCGAATTAAACGCAATTTTTTTTTTATATAGCTTTGCGATATTTTACACGGACTTTGCTGTAATGACACCCGGAGGTTTGTGCGTTTTATTAGCACGCGTTTCTATTTATGATGCGGCTTTTTGTAAGCGAGGGACGCCCGCCTCGACCTCGGTCTAGTAGTGGCTGGGAAGATGTCGTAGACCCAATGTAGTTTTGTAGAATTTCGTCAATGACAAAACATAGGTGACATCATCATCACGGTGCCCAAACAAGCGTTGATTTGATCTTAGCTCTGATCAGTAGTGGCATGAATAGGACTTTTATTTAAATAACTTTTATACGCTGCCTCAAGGCTTCTTATTATTAACGGCTCGTCTGTGGATTCTACTTTTATATCCCACACTTGCGCTGCAGTAATTTATGATCGATGTAATAAAACATGTAATTGCCGATGTATAGTTTTAAATTGCAGCTTTAAAGCCATGTTTAGGGATCCGGCTCAGGACCTATGATCCCGCTGTTTGGAGGTCTTGTGGAAACTGCTTCCTTCTTGTTTCACCAGCCTCAATTTATACACAGCTGTGACCAATCAAAGAGAGGGGGGGTGGGGTGGGTAGGTCAACAGGAAGTGAGTCGTCCACAGGAAATTACAGCATTTCCAAGTAGAATGTAGAATTCAAAAACGTATCAGCACGTGCGATGTCACGCAATCGTTAATGTTTTGCCACACGGACCAATTGTGTTTTTCATCGGGCAAGCCCGGATTAAGTTTTTGGGGGACTGTTATAGTTTTGGAGGTGTGCCCCCTCGTAAATTCAATCCATTCCCTGTTTCAACACCACGACATGCCTGGTGGCAAACCCTCCATTGTTATTCACCTTGGTTTTTTCAGTTGTAGTTTTCAAACATGATATATATAAAGACGAAATATATATGCGCAAAAATAAACGTTAAAACTAACAAAACTATTTCAATCCGGCACATAAACCGTAACACCCACAGTAACACTATAGCTTCAAGTACCAAATTACACCGTCGGACTTACCGTAGTGCTACTGTTTTGCATTTCACAATGTATGTTTGTCGGGCATTCTCTCAAAGTCGGAGGCTCCAGGCTGCCAGTGGGCTCGGTTTGCGTTTTTTCTTCCCCCGCTGCCCACTCTCCCCACCGCGTGCCGTTAAACAAGCGGAAACGTTTCATCGGCGCCATTTGGACGAGGATTTTTGTTCGCGAAAACTCGGCACGCCAGATTTGTTCACGACAAAAACTCGCGCTCGGGCGAACGCCGACTTGTAGAATAACAACGGGGTGTTATTTATTTTTGGCTCTTTAGATAACTGCGATCGGACATTTGTCCATGTGTGTATGATATTCCCAACCCACTTGCTGGGATTTGAATGGGGAGGATGATAGCCCACACGGAGACGATGATGCCAGTTTCTATCAAATATTCGGCAATCAGCGTCTGGTAATTTTGTAGCATCTCCCCGCCGGTGGTGGCACAATCACTTTTAACAATTCACCCGCTTAAATCCACCTAACCGTTGACAGAACTACCTTCCAAACCATTGACTCCCGGGGTTGCGGTTGATCAAGTTTTTCCAAAACGCCCATCGATGACCGGTCGACGTTTGCGTCGCGTCTTCCTTCGCACGCCCACGGGGGGGGTGGGGGGGAGGGGGCGGTGAGGAGAGCTCGGAGCGGATCGTTACCGTGGGGTCGCGCTGGACTCCGGGCGCCGTCACCACGCCAGGGGTGTGCGCGTGTGGACCCACCTGGGAATGGGGCCTCTTGGGGAATAAATCCCGAGATCTCTAAACCACGACCGTCTAAAGACTTCTCTGTAAGGCGAACTGGGAGGCTGCTTCCGCGGCGTGTCCACCACTCGGCCATCTCAAACACCCACCCCCGATGTCCGTAACCCAGCCGTTTGAACGCGGTTGCCCAGCGAGTGATTTCAAAGCGACCAAGAGGCAGAAGTGTGATAAACCGTTTTATTTTTCCTTACAAAAAAAAAATAACTTCGTTGGTGCCTCGGGGGGAAGCCAGAAGCTTGAACACGGCGTTAACTTCTTCCTTACAGCTCAATCGGACAGCCAGTTGTACACTTGAGTTGGCAACCGCAGCTGATGTCTAACGCGTAGGCTTTCGCGACCAATGTCATCCATAATGCAGGTTTGTTTTTGGGTGAAATCGCGTAAATGTGTCGTTAAACCCGCCACCACCAAACAGACACTTCGTAAGGTTTATCACGTAAACAGAACTTGCAAATTCGTTACTAATACAGCACACCAGTGTTGGAGAGCCAAGCCACAACATTTATAATCTGAGCCCGATGTTTCGCCAGTAATTACAACTAGCATCATCAGGTGACAGCCTGATTGTAAATTTTGTGGCTTGGCTCTCCAACACACCAGTGTGCTGTACTACAAACGAATTGGCATGTTCCGTTTACGTGACAAACCTAATTAGCTGTGTCGGGTGGTGGCGGGTTTAACGACACATAAAATACGCAATCTAACCACAACCCCCCCCCCCCCCCCCCCAAAAGAATCCCTGTATTTTGGAGCAGCTGATATTCTTGGTACAAACTTTTTGGCGATGCGTCGGTGTTTAGAATCTTACAAAAACACGCGTGGAATGGGAATTAGGGGGTGAAATTATTCGCCCCTTTTCCTGGTGATTTGTCATGAACCACGACTGTCGTTCGATTCGAGAATCGTTTTGCATTTTTTATAAAATGCCGCGGTCAGCCGGTGACCTCTGGTGGCTGCAGGGGTGAAACCAGAGCACAACGCCGGAGGAGAGGAGCACCACGTTTGACCGCGCGTTGCCTGAACTTGACAATCGCCGAGACATCGTTTCGCACCGTCGCAACTGTACGTCACGATATGGTCTTAACATTGCTCCAGGATTGCTTTGCTTTTTTTTTCAGACGTTATAATTTTCACCACCCGGCGAAACGTAACGAGGCTTTCGTTTTGCGTGTACTTCACGGTTCTTAGGACGAGCAACGGTGTCGTCAGCATAAAACTCGGCCTCTCTAAAGCCGCGAGCCAAGGCTGCCCAGGGAGGTTACTGGAGGCCTGGGCGCCCTGTGTTTGGGCCCTCTCTTGTGTGAAGCCCCGGGCACGCTGCCCCTTTTGCCTTCTCCCCCCCTCCCACCACGCCAGTCGGCCACCTCCGGGCAACCCTGCCACTAGTCCACACACACACCCAGATTGACGAGAATTCGGGCTTTCAGTTTAATCACAAACGACGCCCTGAATAAAAGAAACATCAAACTTAACCAAACCGCTCCAATTAACCTATAACCAATGATTAACGAGGGGGGGGGGGGTAACAGATTAACTTAAATAACATTTTTAATGATATCTTTTATTACATTTTTACTTTATATGTCTAAACTCTGAGGTTGAAGCCGTATGTGTTTTTAAAGAAGGAACTAAGTCTGACCAGGTGACCGGCAGTTCACTACGTGCACTGCCACACGTATTGCTCTGTAAAAACTGTAAATGAAACTATTTCGCGAAGTACAGCCCGCTGAGCTATATAGCTCTTTTCAGAAGTGACCTGGCCACAAATGATAGCTCAACAAAGTGGCTTCTCATCACGTGGAAATTTATAGCAGCCAAATACTCTTAAACGTACGTTTTAAAATGTGGAGGGGAAAAACTAGGTGGGGGGAGAATCAGAGAAATATCCACGCTACCACGGGGAGAGAGACGCCAAATATACAGGCCTCATGGTTCGGGATCGAACCCACAACGTCCTGTATAACAGGCGAGGTAGTGAACGTCTCAACACCGTGGTGGACACGTGGAATTCGCGTAGGCACGGTTCTTGAGTAAAAGCGAGTTGTGGAGGGGGGGGTAAGTTGGTGTTTGCGTGTTTTACCACAAGCGTGGTGAATGCAGACTTGATGCCTTGTAGGGCTGAACGATTAATCGATTTCAAATCGAAATTGCAGTTTTAAACAATGCGATTAGAAAATCGCAAAGGCTGTGATTTTTTGCGATTTTAAAAGTCCTATTTCTTATTGGAATTGTTTTATTTATTATTATAACTTTTTTATTTAACTTAACAATTGTTCGATGTTTGATTATTCTATTTCAATTAAACATTTTAATAAATGCATGTTGGAAGCAATTCATATCGTTCTCATCCTTGCATCAGAATATATAGAACAGTTCATATTTTGATGGTCATGCTTCACCATATGTTATGAATCTATTACTGACTATTGAACTGAAGCTTGACTTAAAAAAATGTAATCGCATTATGTCAGAAAAATCTCAATTAGAAATTTTCCCCAAATCGTTCAGCCTCACTTTGTAGTAGTAACAATCGGAGTCTATTTGGTGTTTGAACATCTAAACACCACCTGTACTATTGCCGGAAAGGGTAAAGCGTTTTTTTTTAATCACTCATTAATGTCACGTTCACCAAGTTCAAGTGCAGAACCAAATTGAAGGACATGTAGGTTTGTTGCGTCTGCGTGTGTGCCGCGCAGATCGTAATAAGCCACTCGTTCACCAACCCGCACTGATCAGCCTGAAGTATGGTCTGACCCAGACTGTGTGTGGGGTCGGGGGGCAGCCTTCATCGGGGCGGTTGACAAAGGGCTGTAACTTATTAATGTTGTTCTTCACTCACCAGGGTTTCCTTCCTCTCGTGTACGAGCACAATTAGCACCACGAAATTAACCAAGTTCAACGAAGATAGGAGTAAAAAAGATAAACAAATCCGCTCTTGTCTGGTCGCCCCATCGAGCTTCCATAACCCCCCCAAAAAAACAAGTGACTTTCAGGTGCACTCCAGGGACATCACTGCAGCGGCACTGATTTCCCTTCACTGTTCGTACGGCAACGTGAAAGCGTGCGACGTTGTGCATGTTAAAGCGTGCGACGTACGTGTTAAAGCGTGCGACGTGCGTGTTAAAGCGTGCAACCTTGTACGTGTTAAAGCGTGCGACGTTGTACGTGTTAAAGCGTGCGACGTTGTACGTGTTAAAGCGTGCGACGTACGTGTGAAGCGTTCTCTCTTTCCATCCGAGCAAAGCAGTTGGACAACACGACGACTGACTACTAGGTTCGCCCTGAACCATGCTGTGCGCCAATTTATTAAAGACAGTGTCGTTCAAACCCGCCGCCAACCGACACGGCCAATGAGTAAGGTTTCAATCTTGACTTAAAGTTTTCGTGACTGCAGGAATTCATATTCTTTGGGTCTTTCGGTAAAGCCACGTAGATAGAAAAAGAAAATTATAATATCACAACGTTTCGATCGCAACACAAGCATTCGTCATCAGGTGAAAAAATAGCGAGAGAGCTGCTGAGGCAGGATGTTATAAAGATTTGAGATGGGTGTTAGCCCAAGGGTCATAAGCGAAGTGGGCGGGGCTAGTGAAGAAATTTGCATGTCAATGTAAGATCAGAGAGCCGAGCTACCTCCACGATGATGAAGCTGCGGAGGTGGCCATTGTATTGAGAGATTAGCATGTCAATGTAAGATCGTAGAGCCACCGCCACATCAAGGAAAACGAGCAACGGTGGCTGTGTTAGTGAGACATTTAACCTGTTAATGTAAAGACATTTAACCTGTTAATGTAACACCAGACAGTGGAAAATAACTATTAAACATCACAGCCAGGTATGACTTATCATGTAAACACCACCAGCGAAATGTCACGGTACTCGAATTGTAAATGTTGTGGGTTTACTCTCCAACACACCGGGTGTGTTGAAGTAGCAACTCAGCAGCACGTTTTGTTTACGTGACAAACCTTACTAATTGGCTGTGTCGGTGGTGGCGGGTTTAACGACACATTTACGCAATCTAACCCAGAAAAAAACCTCTTAGTTTGGATATTGGACACGAAAGCTGACGTGTTAAACTGAAAAAGGGAGACTTAATAGTTGCCAATACGGGAGTCCCTTTTTTTTGCTATGCCTCATGCCTGCAAGTTTTGGGCAATCACCCTTTGGATCAACGTGGCCGTTTTTTTCAAGAGGACGATTTCCTAATAGCACCACAACTTTACGGTGAAGTTTAATTTATTTTGGATCAACGTTACTCAAGTTATCGTGCCGCACCCCCCCCATCACAGATGGACGGAGCGGATAGAGGAGCGCTTTCAGCCTTTGCTTTTACGAAGCAGTGGCAGCGACTGAACCACAACGACGTAATTAAAGCCACACCTGAAAGTCACACGAAAGTTTGTTGTTCCCACTAATTATTGGATTGCCTGGGGCCCTTTTAAGGCCGGAGTGTGCCATATGTGCAAGTCAAGATATATACGATGGGCCGTGTAGCAAAATGCCTCAATGTAAGGTTTCACCCCCCTTTCAGCAGTGGTACATTCCACGTGTGGTGGAGTATTATCAAATGCTGTGATTGTGGAAGGTACCACTTCTGACTTGGGGGGCGGGTGGGGGGTGTGGAAGGTTACATTTGCTGTTGCACCCATTACGAAGTGCTGGCGGCAAATCCTTGCGGGTTCTGCAACTGCCATCTCCAGAGATCTTTACCTGCAGGAACATCACCACATCATCAACATCCCATCGCAATTACCATTGCTACCATCGTCATGCACACGTATACACGTGTACAGCGCGTGTGCGTGCGTGTGTGTGTGCGTATGCGTACACATGGTGTCGAGGTCTCTCTCCGCTTTCCACCCGAGCTCCGTGTGTGCGAGCGCGGGGTCCGCGTAGCACGACGCCACGTCGCCCTCGCGCCGAGGGGCCACCACGAACTTGACCTGGCACGGGCACCGCCGTCGTTAGGCACGATGACGACGACTACACCGACGACAATACTGACGATGACAACACGAACACCAACACCTACACCACCAACACTACCAACGACGACGACAATATTGACGATGACAACACCAACACCAACACCTACACCACCAACACTACCAACGACGACAATACTGACGATGACAACACCAACACCAACACCACCACCTACACCACCATCAACACTACCAACGACGACTACACCGACGACAATATTGACGATGACAACATGAACACCAACACCTACACCACCACCAACACTACCAACGACGACAATACTGACGATGACAACACGAACACCAACACCACCACCACCTACACCACCACCAACACTACCAACGACGACGACACCGACGACAATACTGACGATGACAACACGAACACCAACACCTACACCACCACCAACACTACCAACGACGACGACACCGACGACAATACTGACGATGACAACACGAACACCAACACCTACACCACCACCAACACTACCAACGACGACGACACCGACGACAATACTGACGATGACAACACGAACACCAACACCTACACCACCACCACCATCAACACTACCGACGACGACAATACTGACGATGACAACACGAACACCAACACCTACACCACCACCAACATTACCAACGACGACGACGACAATACTGATGATGACAACACGAACACCAACACCTACACCACCACCAACATTACCAACGACGACGACGACAATACTGATGATGACAACACGAACACCAACACCAACACCTACACCTACACCACCAACACTACCAACGACGACGACACCGACGACAATACTGACGATGACAACACGAACACCAACACCTACACCACCACCAACACTACCAACGACGACAATACTGACGATGACAACACGAACACCAACACCACCACCTACACCACCACCACCAACACTACCAACGACGACGACAATACTGACGATGACAACACTGACGACAACACCAACGATGACAATACGAACACAACCACCACCAACACCACCAACGACGACGACTCGCTGAGACTGCCCGCGTCTCCGTAGCGCCGCCACCGTGGATGTACAATGCCAACGTGGCGTAGCGCCTCGCCCCACGCGGCCCCCCCGCCTGTTACAATCGCCACCGGTGAGCGGCATGGTGAGCGACACAAGCGACCGACACGGAGGGTAAACAAAAAAACTCGATGACAGCGATGACAACGACACGTGTGTGCGTGTGTGGGTGTGTGCGTTTCTACGGCGACGACAATGACACGTGTGTGCGTTTCTACGGCGACGACAATGACACGTGTGTGCGTTTCTACGGCGACGACAATGACACGTGTGTGCGTTTCCACGGCGACGATTTACAACGATGGGGACAACGATGATGGCGACGAGTCCCCTACCTCCTTGCCGCTCGCTTTCTCCATGGCCTTCACCATCTGCAGCACCGAGTATCCGACACCCGTGCCCAGGTTATACACCTGGGCAGAACGAGGGAGCACGCACACACACACACACACGGGTTTTACCAGCAGCATGCGTGGTGTGGTTAAGGTGGAGTGTGTGTAGTTAAGTGTTATCTTGTTTGACCAGGTGAGAACTTAAGGGACCCAGGTTAGAGCAGTCTGACCTGGGTCAGCACAATGACAAAAGCAGAGTTAAAAAATGAAGCTACAGCAATGAAGCGAATATAAATCGGAGTAAAAACAACCACGTTGTACACGTGGCGAATGAAAAATATGGCAACAATAGAAATTGATTTTAAGCAATTAATTTCCTGTCAAAATATAAGTTGACCCGGGCATTATTTTAGACTGATCGTAGCACAATTAAGGTTCAGGTACAGAAACAGCGATACCAAATGTGTGGATTTAGCTGTGTGCGATTAGAGTGGTGGTGCAGTAGTTAGCGCACTGCTACAAACCTGACGACCTGAGTCCAATTCCCGCTCGCAACCAAACACAGTGGCGAATGTTTGAAACGGTCTTTGACACTTCACGTGGCCTGGCACAGGCCACCCCCCGGTCGACTCGGCCTCAAATGAGTACCCGGTGCGGTGTGCAAACATCAGCACTGGGGAGACAAAGGCAGCCGAGCGTGGCGCTGGCCACCCACCCCCTCGTGTGCCGTGCCGACCTTCATAGGTGCTACTCGCTAGCAACACTTGCCCCAGCAGTCTGTTGAGGCTACACGGCGGATCTTTGTCTTTGCACGGTTGTTGGTGCGGTGAGCGCGGTGTGACCTCTCACCTTGCACCCGCACCGCTCCTCCAGCTTGCGCAGAGCGGCAATGTGACCCTTGGCAAGGTCAACCACGTGGATGTAGTCTCGCACTCCTGCGTCAGCCACAACCGCGACAGGACAACGTCGTCAACCAGGCCGCAAGCCGACGCCATCAACAACAACCACAAGCTACAAAAAACGCGCGCCCGCCCACGCGGCAACAACTGCATCGCCTGTTGATGCTGCTTGTAATTACCGGCGAAGCGTCGTACTCGAATTGTAAATGTCGTGGTTTCACTCTCCAACGCACCGGGTGTGCTCAAGTAGTAACTGACTGGCACGTTTTGTTTACGTGACGAACCTTACTCATTGGCTGTGTCGGGTGGTGGCGGCGGCGGCGGCGGCGGCTTTAATGACACTTTTACCACTCACGCGATCCAACCCAAAAAAAAACCTCTTGTGAAACTGCGTAGATTTATCAACGACGTCCGTGTCGCAACGGCACTCACAGCAACAACCACGCGGTTCAACATGCGCAACCGTGAGCGAGCATCCGCGCGAGTGAGGGAGCGAGTCGGCGCGCGAGCGGGTGAGGATGCGAGTGAGCGCGCGTGAAGCAGAGCGTGCCAGCGAGGTGAACGAACGAGGCAAGAGAGCGGGCGACTGTGAAGCGTGGCTGTGCGAGCAGGCGCGCATGTGAACAAAGAGTCGGCCAGAGAGTGAGTGAATGGGCGAGCAAAGGCGCACCAGTGAGGACACAAGTGAATGAGCGAGCGAAGACGTGCCAACTCGCGAGCAAGCGTGCGCCTTGCACACACCCGTGCCGTCCGGCGTGTCGTAGTCGTCTCCGAAGACGCTCAGGAACTCGCGACGACCCACGGCGACCTGTGGCCAGTGGCATGTGGAGAGGGATGGGGAGACACGGAGAGGCATGGCAAAGCACTAACAATACCATCACGTTCAAAACTCGACACTGCAGCTCAGATTTATCCAAACTTGGCAAGTTTTCTGTCCCAAGGCAAAAAATAAATAAATCACCAACGCTTACCCTGGCATTGCCACAGCAACCGGCGCTCCTTTGAATAAGAGCCCCACAGCACGAACCCACTAACGCAACCCCCACCCCTAACCCAACATTGCTGGCTGACGATGATGACAATGACGATGACCCCTGACCTGCGCCACGTAGGGCATGAGGTTGTTGGGGATGCCTTGCGGGTCCTCTCCGATGCGGCCGGACTCGTGGGCCCCGATGGGGTTGAAGTAGCGGAGGATGACGACGTTCCACTCCTGTGGCGAACGGCGCGGCCATTAGGATCCGCCCGCTCGGGAAGCGTGGGGGAGTAGCAGGGGGGGGGAGTAGCGGGGGGGGGGAGTAGCGGGGGGGGGAAGTAGCGGGGGGGGGTGTAGCGGGGGGGGGGTGTAGCGGGGGGGGGGGGGGGGGGCCGTCCGTGCGGCAAGGCACTCCCCCGGTGAGCGGGGTACGTCCGTGCCTCGCTTCAGAAGCTCAACGCGTCACGCGTGCGGCTCTGGACGTATCCGTACGTTCGCGGCAAACCCGGTAACCAGGGTGTGTTTATCGTTTTCTTTCATTCGGTTTACGCTTAATGGGGGAAAGAAATTACGGTGTCAATAGCAATGCAACTTGCCAGCCTCACCCACCCTCACCCAGCCTCATCGCCCCCCTCACCCACCCTCATCGCCCCCCTCACCCACCCTCATCGCCCCCTCACCCACCCTCATCGCCCACCCTCATCGCCCCCTCACCCACCCTCATCGCCCCCTCACCCACCCTCACCCCCCCTCATCGCCCCCGCCACCCTCCCCGCCCCCCTCACCGGCTGAGCACAGCACAGGTCACGCAGAATCTCCTCGATGAAGAACTTGCTCTTGCCGTACGGGTTGGTGCAGCCACCAGCCGGGTGCGTCTCGCCCAGAGGCAGCTTCTCGGGGACGCCGTACACGGTGGCCGAGCTGCTGAACACCACGTCACACACGCCGTGCGCCTTCGCCACCTGCCGGGGGGGGGCGGGGTGGAGGGGGGGGGGCAAGGTGGAGGGGGGGGGGGCGTGGTGGAGGGGGGAGCATGGTGGAGGGGGGCGGGGGGCGGTGGGCCACCACGATCCTTGTTATCATTATCATCGCTTTGACAAACGTTACCACCACTGGCACAACTTATCATACAAACCACAATCGAGGGTTTTTTGGGTTAGATCGTGTAAATGTGTCGTTAAAGTCGCCACCACACAGCAGATCGGCGTAATTAATTGTGCATCTGTTTCACAATCGTAACAATTAGTTCGGGAACGCAATTCTGACAACTGAGAAATACCGGCACGGGGTAAATAAAACTCCGGCCGAATCCTCGGCAGGCTTTCTGCTCTTCTCTAACGATCGATCCTCGTGCGTTGCGTACGTTGCGTACGTGCGTGCGTGCGTATCTCGAACATACGGAGTCGGTTTACGAATCAATGACGAGGCGGCCCAAGACGGTGGCGCGGAAATCCGGAGCCTGGCACGGAGCGGAGGAGACGTGCGGCGGCAAGAAAGGACGGAGCGGCGAGATGGTTTGGAAACGTTCGAGAGGCGGATGCGGAGGAGGGTGCAGGAGGGGGGGGGGGGGGGGCGAAGCCAATGAAGAGCTCTTGAATGACAGCGACGATAGAAAGGAACCGTACGGGAAGGACAACAACTGAAGGAGAGAGAAGAACGGGCGGGACTGGACGCGTCGACGACCGTTGCAGATGGCATAGCGGTGGGGCATGAGAACGAGCGGGTCGCTGGCGGTGCTGAAGGAAACGGGGGTGCGGGGGGGGGTAGGGTGGGGGGGTAATGCAGAGGAGGGCGGAAAGCAGAGAGCAGAGACGGATGGGGAAGTTGGCAGCCAAGGACCGGGCGTTTGCTAAGGCAGAGCGCCGGAGAGGAAGTGGAGTCACAACAACAACAACAACACACAACCGCCAATCGCCACTAAGTGGCGGTGACGTCACCACGGCGCTTGTGCCAGGCCACGTGAAGTGTCGAACGCCCGCCGGTAGGAGGTCACGGGGCAGACCCAGCAGGTTCCACGGGTCGTTTGACCGAGATGACTGGCCCGATGCACCATCACCTGTGCCCCCCTACTGTGCCAACTTGCTGTGTTTTAGCCGCCCGGCGCTCCACTCGTTGTTGTGAGCGTCACACACACGCGCGTGCACACAAACGAGCAGACACGGGTCGCGTACGCACGCTGGCATGCGCGCGCGTGTGTGTGTGTATGTATGTCTGTATCTGTGTGTGTGTATGTATGTGTGTGGATGTCTGTGTGTGTATGTATATCTATGTGTGTGTGTATATGATGTGTGTATATGATGTGTGTGTGTATGTATGTCTGTATCTGTGTGTGTGTATGTCTGTGTGTGTGTGTGTGTACGTCTGTGTGTGCATGTGTACGTCTGTGTGTGCGTGTGTATGTCTGTATGTGTGTGTTTATGTATGTGTCTGTGTGTGTGTATATCTGTATGTGTGTGTGTATGTATGTGTCTCTGTGTGTATATCTGTATGTGTGTGTGTATGTATGTGTGTGTATGTCTGTGTGTGTGTGTGTATATGATGTGTGTATATGATGTGTGTGTGTGTATGTCTATGTGTGTGTGTATATCTGTAAGTATGTGTATGTCTATATGTGTGTGTGTATATCTGTAAGTGTGTGTGTCTGTGTGTGTGTATATATCTGTATGTGTGTCTGTGTGTGTATATATCTGTATGTGTGTGTGTCTGTGTGTGTATATCTGTATGTGTGTGTGTGTATATCTGTATGTGTGTGTCTGTGTATATATCTGTATGTGTGTGTGTCTGTATGTGTGTGTGTATGTGTGTATATCTGTATGTGTGTGTATATATCTGTATGTGTGTGTGTATATCTGTATGTGTGTGTGTGTCTGTATGTGTCTGTATGTGTGTGTGTGAATGTGTGTGTGTGTATATGTGTGTGTGTCTGTGTGTGTGTATGTCTGCTCCAGTATATGTGTGTGTCTGTGTGTGTGTATGTCTGCTCCAGTTTAACAGCAGAGGTCTCACTCCGAATCAGTCGAGCGGCAATATCTTTTCATCGGTTGCGTAACGCTGTGTGGAAGCTACCTGGTCTGTCGCTCCGCACTAAGCTTCAGGTCTTCTCGGCCACGGTCATTCCCTCCCTTCTCTACGCTTGCGAAACGTGGACCCCCTTAACGGGGCATCTTCGCCGGTTAGAAACATTTAGGCTGGCCTGCCTACGATCCATCCTGGGTTTAACCAGACTGGATTGTGTGAGGAGCTCACAAATCCTTGAAAGATCTGGGCAAGGTCCCATCGGTGAGCTCCTCCGGCGGGGAAGGCTGCGAAGGCTGGGTCATGTAGCCCGCATGCCCAGCCACCACCTGCCGAAACAGCTTTTGTTCGCCCGGATTGAGGGGGTTAAACGGGCGCGGCACGGGCTAGAGAAGAGATGGAGTGATGTGGTACAGGAGGACGTGGAGCTGAGTGGACTTGCCGATGACTGGTACCAGCGGTGTCAAGATCGGCCTCTGTGGAGGAGGCTCGTGAAGGACGCTACTGGGCAGTTGGAGGTAGTCGCCCTCCAACAACAACGGAGGGCGGAGGAACGACGCTCAGAACAACGAGCGGAGCGCCGGGTGGCTAAAGCACAGCGGGTTGGCACAGTAGGGGGCACAGGTGGTGCATCAGCCAGTCATCTCAGTCTGTCGATCCGTGGCACCTGGGTCTGCCCCGTGACCTCCTGCCAGCGGGCGTTTGACACTTCACGTGGCCTCAGGGTGCACATAGCCTGGCACAAGCGTTGTGGTGACGTCACCGCCACTTAGTGGCGAATGGCGGTTGTTGTTGTGTGTGTATATCTGTATGTGTGTGTGTGTATGTCGTGGGGAGCGGTAGTGTAGCGGTTAGCGTGCTGCGCTATGAACCCGGCGACACGGGTTCGATTCCCGCTCACGGCCAACACCAGTGACGATTATCTGAACCGGTCCCGGGCCTCCCCTAGTTCGACTCAGCCTCAAATGAGTACCTGGTGCGGTGTGTAGATATCGCCACTAGGGAGACAAAGGCGGTCGGGCGTGGTACTGGCCACCCACCCCCTCGTGTACCGTTCTGGCCTTCATAGGTGCTCGCTAACAGCACTTGCCCCTACAGTCTGTTAAGGCTATACGGGGGATCTTTGTCTTGTGTATATCTGTGTGTGTGTATATCTGTATGTGTGTGTGTGTATATCTGTATGTGTGTATGTCTGTATGTGTGTGTATATCTGTATGTGTGTATGTCTGTATGTGTGTGTATATCTGTAAGTGTGTATATATCTGTATGTGTGTGTGTCTGTGTGTGTGTGTGTATATCTGTATGTGTGTGTCTGTATGTGTATATATTTGTATGTGTGTGTGTCTGTGTGTGTATATATCTGTATGTGTGTGTGTGTCTGTGTGTGTGTGTGTCTGTGTGTGTATATCTGTGTGTGTGTCTGTGTGTGTATATCTGTATGTATGTGTGTGTGTATATCTGTATGTGTGTATATATCTGTATGTGTCTGTGTGTGTGTGTGCGGCGCCCGCTCCCGGCTAGGTGTACCTGCAGCAGGTTGAGCGCACCGGCCACGTTGACCTGGTAGTACCGCAGCGGCTGCTCCACAGACTCCCCCACCGCCTTGAGGCCCGCAAAGTGGATGATGGCGCTGAAGGAGTACTGCGTGTGCCCACAACAACCACAACAACCACAACAACACCGTGAATCACTGCAGTGAGGGAATTAGGCCTCGACAAGGTAAGGTAAAAACAACGAGCCTACCTTTACCCGACCTTTTACCCTTACCCCATACAAATTACTCGATCACAGGGTAGTAATTACTGGGGTACTACACATGAACAAGGTTTATAACAGGTAAATGCTAGGTAGAGTGCTTTATTCATATAGAATACTCTCGATTATTCCAATTTTTGCACGCTTTCTTTAAACTCACTGTTGTTGTTGTATCTTTTTATAACGCGCTTTTATTTAACTCACTCTGTCTGTTGTTGTATCCTCAATTCTTGTAACTCAATTTTAACCCACTTCACAATGTGGTTTCGACTGCGAACTTGGTATACTTATGTCATACTGATGACAATACTATATCAGTTTAACACGTAGGCTTTCGCGACCAATATTATTCATAATAAAGGTTTTTGGGTTAGATCGCGTTTATTTATAAATGTGTCGTAACCCTCCACCACCCGACACGGCCAATCAGCAAAAAAAGTGTCACGTTGACAAAAGACAAATAATTCACTACTTCAGCCCACCGGTGTGTTGAAGAGTTAATCCACATTTACAGTTTGAGTACGACGTTTCGCTGGTAAATACTTCCAGCATCATCGGGCAATTCGCCAGAATGGTAAAGCCCTCGCTTGCTCCCGGTTTTATATAGAGCAGCAGGGTGACGTCATCACTTAACTCATCAGGTGCAGTGATTAGAGGCGGAGGGGGGGGTAATGTAATTATATAATCGATTAGTAATCAGTCATTGGTTATGATTAGTAATGAGTTGTAGATTAGTAATTCTTTAAATCAAAATGTAATGTGTATTATTTAATAATACGCTTCCAGGCCGCACTAAGCCGGTAGCTGTCAGAGCGATTAAAGTTATTCTTGTTCCTCTCAATTTCAATGGATTCTCTAATTAGTCTTTGCCAGTAATAATTAGTTTTACACACCACTGCAACATTGTCAAAATCAATTGAGTGTCCTTGTTGACAAGCATGTTCTGCCACTGCCGACAGTTGTGTTTGAGATAATTTAATATTTCTCTGATGTTCTTTTAGTCTTACGCTGATGTTACGTCCCATCTGCCCAATGTAGCAGCTGCCACATGAACAATTAATCCGATATACACCTTCTGTTGATAGTTTAGGTAATGCGTCTTTAGTGCAAGATACTAGTTTTTGAATTTTGTGTACTGTACCAAATCTTACTGTAATGTTTTGCTTTTGCAAAACGCGGGCTAATTTGTCAGTTACTCCTGAGATATATGGAATTTTTATTGTTTTAACAATCTGGTCGCTTTCAGTAGTATTGCTTTGCGATCGTGATTTGGCATTCAGTGCTCTGTTAATTAGAGCATTATTGTAGCCATTCTGTCGTAGTGCGTCTTTAACGTGTTTAATCTCTCTCACTAGACTCTCACCATCTGACACTGTTTTCGCCCGATGTACGAGCGTCTTGATAAGAGAGGATTTTTGAGCTGGATGATGATGTGATTCTGCATTCAGATAGGCATCAGTGTGCGTTTGCTTTCTGTAAACGCTGTGTTATTTTACCGTTTAGGCCATGTCCAAGCAAAATATCTAGGAATGGGAGTGTGTTATTCACCTCCATTTCCATGGTGAACTGGATGGCCGGGTTTTTTTGCATTGAGATGATTTAGAAAATCATTAAGTGTATCTTTACCATGTGGCCAGACAACCAAAGTGTCATCCACATACCTAAACCAAAAGGATGGTTTTAATGTGCTCGAGGCAAGTGCTCTTATTTCAAAGTTTTCCATGTACAAATTTGCTATAGCAGGGGATAAAGGAGAACCCATTGCTGCTCCTTCCTTTTGTTTAAAGAAATCCCCTCTCCATAAGAAGTAAGTGTTATTTAAACAATGGGCAGCAAGTTTCGGAATATCTTTTTGTAAACCGGTATTCTTTACTAGTGTATCAAGTAATTTAAGCGATTCGTCCACTGGAACCTTAGTGAATAGAGAAATCACATCAAAACTTACCAGAATATCATCAGGAGTAAGTTTAATATCTTTAATCACATTCACAAGATGTTCTGAATTTTTTATGAATGAAGATGTCTTACCGATGTAGGGCTGTATTTGTTTGGTTATATATTTTGCTAATTGATATGTGGCAGAGCCAATTGTACTGACTATGGGTCATAATGGGATGCCGATTTTATGAATCTTTGGTAGCCCATAGAGTCTAGGTGGTTTTGAGGCCCTTGGCTTAATTAGGTATTGCTCATTTTTAGGGATTAATGAATTTGCAATTATTGCAGTGGTCTTACGTTCTAAAGTATTAGTTGGATCTCGTTTAATTTTAATGTAGGTACTTTCCTCTAGTAAATTTCTAATTTTATTATCATAATTAAGCCAAGGGCCTCAAAACCACCTAGACTCTATGGGCTACCAAAGATTCATAAAATCGGCATCCCATTACGACCCATAGTCAGTACAATTGGCTCTGCCACATATAAATTAGCAAAATATATAACCAAACAAATACAGCCCTACATCGGTAAGACATCTTCATTCATAAAAAATTCAGAACATCTTGTGAATGTGATTAAAGATATTAAACTTACTCCTGATGATATTCTGGTAAGTTTTGATGTGATTTCTCTATTCACTAAGGTTCCAGTGGACGAATCGCTTAAATTACTTGATACACTAGTAAAGAATACCGGTTTACAAAAAGATATTCCGAAACTTGCTGCCCATTGTTTAAATAACACTTACTTCTTATGGAGAGGGGATTTCTTTAAACAAAAGGAAGGAGCAGCAATGGGTTCTCCTTTATCCCCTGCTATAGCAAATTTGTACATGGAAAACTTTGAAATAAGAGCACTTGCCTCGAGCACATTAAAACCATCCTTTTGGTTTAGGTATGTGGATGACACTTTGGTTGTCTGGCCACATGGTAAAGATACACTTAATGATTTTCTAAATCATCTCAATGCAAAAAACCCGGCCATCCAGTTCACCATGGAAATGGAGGTGAATAACACACTCCCATTCCTAGATATTTTGCTTGGACATGGCCTAAACGGCAAAATAACACACAGCGTTTACAGAAAGCAAACGCACACTGATGCCTATCTGAATGCAGAATCACATCATCATCCAGCTCAAAAATCCTCTCTTATCAAGACGCTCGTACATCGGGCGAAAACAGTGTCAGATAGTGAGAGTCTAGTGAGAGAGATTAAACACGTTAAAGACGCACTACGACAGAATGGCTACAATAATGCTCAAATTAACAGAGCACTGAATGCCAAATCACGATCGCAAAGCAATACTACTGAAAGCGACCAGATTGTTAAAACAATAAAAATTCCATATATCTCAGGAGTAACTGACAAATTAGCCCGCGTTTTGCAAAAGCAAAACATTACAGTAAGATTTGGTACAGTACACAAAATTCAAAAACTAGTATCTTGCACTAAAGACGCATTACCTAAACTATCAACAGAAGGTGTATATCGGATTAATTGTTCATGTGGCAGCTGCTACATTGGGCAGACGGGACGTAACATCAGCGTAAGACTAAAAGAACATCAGAGAAATATTAAATTATCTCAAACACAACTGTCGGCAGTGGCAGAACATGCTTGTCAACAAGGACACTCAATTGATTTTGACAATGTTGCAGTGGTGTGTAAAACTAATTATTACTGGAAAAGACTAATTAGAGAATCCATTGAAATTGAGAGGAACAAGAATAACTTTAATCGCTCTGACAGCTACCGGCTTAGTGCGGCCTGGAAGCGTATTATTAAATAATACACATTACATTTTGATTTAAAGAATTACTAATCTACAACTCATTACTAATCATAACCAATGACTGATTACTAATCGATTATATAATTACAATACCCCCCCTCCGCCTCTAATCACTGCACCTGATATGAGTTAAGTGATGACGTCACCCTGCTGCTCTATATAAAACCGGGAGCAAGCGAGGGCTTTACCATTCTGGCGAATTGCCCGATGATGCTGGAAGTATTTACCAGCGAAACGTCGTACTCAAACTGTAAATGTGGATTAACTCTTCAACACACCGGTGGGCTGAAGTAGTGAATTATTTGTCTTTTGTCAACATGACACTTTTTTTGCTGATTGGCCGTGTCGGGTGGTGGAGGGTTACGACACATTTATAAATAAACGCGATCTAACCCAAAAACCTTTATTATGGACAATACGATATTCTATCATTAAAATAAATATTTGTAAACATTATTTTTTATATGTTATGTTTCAGCTTGGGTCTAATTGTCCACGGTAAACTGACGTTGGCTGTAATTGCCCACGGTCCCCTTACGTTGTGGCAAGCTTCGGGGCCACTTCCTGGACTCGTGGAGCTCTGCCATTACTAGTTCGGTACATTTCATTAAAGCGTCTTTTTAAAAAAAGTTTTTAAAAAATTATTACTTATTAAATGAAGGCCACGGAATGTGCCACGGAGCTTTTAGCGGTAAACAAGGTGCACCGTATTTACCGGGTTAATACTTCGCGCTACCTTTACCCTACCGGGTAATTCTTCAGAGCTACCTTTACCCTACTACCCTTTACCTTACCCCTTGGCATGTCGACACCTTCACCCTTTATCTTTACCCTTTTACCCGGTAAAAAAGTAAATTACCTTGCCGAGGCCTAGAGGGAATGCCGAGTGGACCAACAAATCGACAATAAACAACATCAGACAACGGTGAATACTATCGGTGAGTGCGAGTGTGAGGTGAGCGTGAGCATGAGGTGAGCGTGAGGTGTGAGAGGTGAGGATTGAGAGGTGAGGAGTGTCAGGTGAGGATTGTGAGGAGTGTGAGGTGAGGAGTGTGAGGTGAGGAGTGTGAGGAGTGTGAGGTGTGAGAGGTGAGGAGTGTGAGGAGTGTGAGGTGAGGGTGAGTGACAGGTGAGGAGGAGTGAGAGGCGAGCGCTCGCCTGGCTGAAGAGCTTCTGCAGTGCCGGCTCGTCCGTCATGTCGACCTCGTGGAAGGCGATGTCGGCCCCCGTGAGCTCCCTCACGCGACGCACGCTCTCGGGCTCACCGCCGGGACCTGACGCGCGACAACACGCAACGCACACGCAACGCACACGCAACCCACACGCAACGCACACGCAACGCACACGCAACCCACACGCAACGCACACGCAAGGCACACGCAACCCACACGCAACGCACACGCAACGCACACGCAACGCACACGCAACGCACACGCAACGCACACGCAAGGCACACGCAACCCACACGCAACGCACACGCAACGCACACGCAACGCACACGCAACGCACACGTGTGACGAGCTGGCGAGGCCCAGCGGCTCTGTTACACGGACGGCCACAGCCCCAGACTGGCGGCAGAGTTTGCAGAGGGGGCATCTCTGTGGCTAGGAGATGTTAACTACCTCGCCTGGTGCGCAGGAGGTCGTGGGTTCCATCCCGACCCCGACGCCTGCTGTAATATTTGGAGTTTGCGTGTCTCTCTCTCATCATCATCACGGTGGCTAGGAGATGCTAACCACCTCGCCTGGTGTGCAGGAGGTCGTGGGTTCCATCCCAACCCCGACGCCTGCTGTAATATTTGGAGTTTGCGTGTCTCGCTCTCTCCCCGGGGTCACGTGGATTTTTGCCGGGTTCCTCCAGTTTTCCGCCCTCCACATTGAACATCAACATCATGCGTTTAGAGTGTTTGGCTGCTTTACATTTCCACATGATAAGCCACTTCGTTGAGCTATCAATTGTGGCGAGGTTGCTTCTGAATAAGTGCTCTATAGCTCAGTGGGCCTTAGCTGGTAAAATAAAATAAAGTTAGTGTATAGGTAGCACTATTCGAATTATAAGACGCACCGCCAACTTTTCCATAGAGTTACGTAGAGATCCATAGAGTTACGTAGAGATCCATAGATTTACGTAGAGATCCATAGAGTTACATAGCCACAGAATTACACGGAGATACATCGAGTTACGCAGAGATTTACAGTCACACAGGGAGCCATAGAGTTACGTATAAACACTTCTGGTTACACAGAGACCCAAAGAGTTACATCGAGGACACACTGCTCAGGCCCCACTGAGCGAAGTGGCTCCGTTACCGCGAGGAACACGGCACAAGACTGCCGGCAGTGGCGGCAGTTACAGGGACAGTGCAGAGTGAGAAGTGTGTCAGCTAACCAGAGCAGGAATAACACATGCAACACATGTAAACTAACGTACGGACAAATATATAACGCGCACAATATTGGTCGCGAAAGCCTACGTGCTAAACAATATATAACGTGCACAACATAATTCACGTACACATTTATCCTTATGCAACATACAGGCGTGACAGATACTCCGTATACGATAACCATACATAGCATAGGCAAGACGCGTCTGCAACATAAAATGTACACACCACACAGGCCGCCTCTAGTATACAGAATCAGAATCCGATGAGCTATGAAGCTCTTTTTCAAAGACGTCCAGGAGCGGCAGGTCAGAACGTTACAACAACAAACAATGTACACACACGATCGGAGTGCAAAGTATCGGAAAAGTAAACAAATCACTGTTTAAAAATATACAAACAAAACTAAACCATTTGTTTTTCTTACCAGGTAAGGCCCACTGAGCTCTATGGCTTCTTTTTCAGAAGTGACCTGGCCACAAATGATAGCTCAACCAAGTGGATTTATCACGTGGACATTTGTAGCAGCAAAATAATCTAAATAATCTATACTCGCACACCATACACACAAAGCACACCACACCATATACTTACCGTCTACGCACAAAAGACAAAGCTCCCCCGTGTAGCCTTAACAGACTGTTGGGACGAGTGCCGTTAGCGAGCACCTACGAAGGCCGAAATGGTACACGAGGGGGTGGGTGGCCAGCACCACGCCCGACCGCCTTTGTCTCCCTAGCGGCAATGTTTACACACCGCACCAGGTACTCATTTGAGACTGAGTCGACCTAGGGGAGGCCCAGGACCAGTTCAGATAATCGTCACTGGTTTTGGCCGTGAGCGGGAATCGAACCCGGATCGCCAGGTTTATAACGCACTGCGCTAACTGCTACACTACCGCTCCCCACACCGTGAAAATACACACACACACATACATCAACATGCAAACAAGGCACACCACACTTAATCATTTAGCAGACTGATCCTCTCCGACCTAGATACCTTCCCTGGTGACACTGCTGCTATGGTGTCAAGCAAATCCTGGGATGATCTGTGTGCTAAGCTACGGCAAGACTTTGACTTTAATCCCAAAGCAACTAATTGATCTAAGCTTCGTTCCTCCCACGCCCCTCCTCCCAAAACGGTGGCATTCAAACAATCAACAAATCCAACTTGTGGATAAAGTTTAAATATCTCGGAGTCATCAACGGCCACAAGCCATATCTCTAGCTGCGCGTAACAAAAAAAACACTCGCAAAAACACGCAAAGATTAAAAAAAATTGGCTTCCTGTACAGAATTCAACTTCGCATTCCATCGCGACTACGAGTGGACAATCTGTAGCGCCACTGTACCCTCCCACCTGAGACCATTGCGACGTTATTTATTTATAGACTTGGTGAAGGCTCGGCACTAAACCAACTGGTTCCATTGACCCACTCCCGACTAACCCTCGATAACCCCTACACAGAACCCATCAGTCTGCACTTTTAACTCCTGTGTGTGTACGTTGAACTTCTTTCGCGCCGTTACGTAGCCAACCGTGCTAATCGGAGGTGCGGAGGGAGGATAAATTAAACAGAAAAAGCAGCGATAAGAAATACAGAGATTGGTATTCAGATCTTGCTTTAAAAGTGGAAAAGTCAATGAAGCGGAGGTTTCAGACAATAGCGCAGAGTGTAGCCTTAACAGGCTGTTGTTAGCGAGCACCTATGAGTTGGTGGGTTTGTCAGCACGATGCCCGATCGCCTTTGATGTTTTTACACACTGCAACAGGTACTCATTTGAGCCTGAGTCGACCTAGGGAAGGCCCAGTTCAGATAATCGTCACTGGTGTTGGCCATGAGATCTTCACTCAAAATTGCTCTAGAGGAGTGTACAACCCTAGCTGTCACTGCTATTCAGTGGCCTAAAATATGGCTCTAGATTTTGGTGTTATAATTTATTTATGTAGTTTGTTAAAAAATTGGGCACAGTCCCTATGATCACTGTTACATTGCATGCATTGCTTTTATTTTGGTGATTTCGAAAAGGTTTTTGTTTTGGCCATGTTTTTGTTTATTGTAGTACGGAGTTAGACTAATGGCCTTAATCTTAGTTGTCTTGTGGTTGTCGTTGTTGTTGTTGTTTGACTTGCATCCCACTGGGATTTTTGCACACAGCGTTGGTGTACGGTGCTATTTCAGGAATATTTTAATATTTTTTTCCTGTATTTTCTGTTTGCACAGTCACAAAATCACTTTAAGATGTTTTCTTGTTCGTGTTTTTTGTTTGTTGCGGTTGCACCCGATTCAAGAGCCGAATGGCTCACAGGGCTAAACCAAATAAATGAACTATGAACTATGAGCTGGAATCGAACTCGGGTCGCCGGGTTCGTACCGCAGTGCACCAAGCGCTACACTACCGCTCCCCAAATATTAAATGCGTTTGGAGTATTTAGCTGCTATCGTTTACACACGATGACAAGCCACTTCGTTGAGCTATCATTTGTGATAGCCAGGTCGCTTCTGAAAAAGCACCATATAGCTCAGTGGGCCTTCCGTGCCACAAATAAAAATGAGTATCTAGTTTAGTTTATAGCACACACTTCCTGCAACACGCACGCACGCACCGGCGCGCGCACCACGGATGGCGTTGTGGAAGTTGTCGATGACCACGGCGGAGTAGCCGGCCTGCGCAAGCTCCACCAGCGTGTGGCTCCCGATGTAGCCGGCTCCGCCCGTCACCAGGATCGTCCTCTTGCTCCCTGCCGCCGCCATCGCCACTGCTAGCCGGCGCAGAGCAGGAAGCCGCAAGGACACGCACGCACGCACCTCCGATTAGCACGGCGGGCTCAGTACGGTGCGAAAGAAATTCAACATACGCACGGACACACACGCATGCGCTGAATACACGCGCACGCACACGCGTCGTGCAGTTAGATTTTTTTTCCATTAATCACATTTGCGATGTATGGCACATTCCAACAAATGAGCACGTTGTATGACGTTACAGCTCTTTCGCGTCTTTATTTGCAGAGCTGTGTTGGCGCAGTTCGTATTTTTCTTTAAAAAAAAAAATTACGTGTCTTCCCTCCCTCCCTCCCCCCCACCCTAATTGTATATCCCAAGTGTGATATCAGCGTCACGGTCACGAGAAGTAGGAATCCCATCTGTAATTGTCAGGGTGAAGAGCACCCAGCTTCCTGCCTCCTTGTACTCAACAGCATTAATGGTGAAGCAGTCGGAATGACTGATGATCCAGCACTCACCGATTCACTCCGGCCACTCGCTCACCTACGGCTCTTCTATCGCTACCGCCACGGTTGTGGTACCCGTGGACTTCACTCATTGATTCCTCGAGCCATGCTGGCGACTCGGTCTGCCAGACTGACCGTTTCGTCTCAACCGCACTGTGTTGAACCAACACCGCACAGCAGGTCACCGCTCATTCACCCAACCACTTATTCACCCGCTCACTCACTCGCTCACCCACTCACCGCACTACAGGTCACGGCTCATTCACTCAACCACTTATTCACCCTCCCACTCACTCGGTCACCCACTCACCGCACTACAGATCACAGCTCATTCACTCAACCACTTATTCACCCTCCCACTCACTCGCTCACCCACTCACTGCACTACAGATCACGGCTCATTCACCCAACCACTTATTCACTCTCCCACTCACTCGCTCACCCACGCACCGCACTGCAGGTCACGGCTCATTCACTCAACCACTTATTCACCCGCCCACTCACTCGCTCACCCACTCAGCGCACTACAGATCACCGCTCATTCACCCAACCACTTATTCACCCGCCCACTCACTCGCTCACCCACGCACCGCACTGCAGGTCACACGTCACAACACTTCTCTTTATGCCTCTTTACTCACATTGCTAGACTTTCGAAATCCCTCCCACCGTCTCTTTTCCCTAAATTTTCACAAACCTTTTCCCCTAAATTTTCACAAACCATTTTCCCCAATTTAAGAAACGTATTAAAAGCTCGTATCTATCACACCTTCAATTGTGCTGCTATGGTTGTTTGTTGCAACCTATCATCACCATCTCACTAGGGATGATAAAAAAATAAAATGGTACCAATTTGTGCAATTTCATATGTAGACTTTCACGACCGATATTATGATTCATGCTCTTTTGTTCTTTCGGTAAAGTCACGTATGGATTCCTGCAGTCACGAAAGCTTCAAATCAAGATTATGATTCATAATAGACATTTGGGTAATATCGCGTAAAAAAAGTATGTCGCTAAGCCTCCTCCACCCGACACGGCCAATTCATAAAGTTGTCATGTGCTCAACATGACAACTTTATTGTGGAGAGCAATCTCATGGCATTTAACAATCGGGTGGGGGGACGTTTCACTGCCCTTCGCGACGAGCATCATCGGGTAGTTGGCAGAATCTGTGGAAATCAACAGCCGCAGGTCCCAGCCGTTGACTGACGGAATCGACCGAAATGCAAACACTCTGGCGTTGGCTGTCAGCAGAGATGACAGTTGTACAAACACGTGTGTTTGTGTGGGTGTGATGACCAAGGCACCTTCATAGGTGCTCGCTAACAGCACTTGCCCCAAACAGTCTCTTAAGGCTATACGGGGGATCTTTGTATTTTGTATTTGTGGGTGATGGCCTAGGCCCTGCCTTGAACAAAAGACGTTAAAGATCAGATGACATCACGATAATAATCCGTGTAAGTACACCCCTTACGTGGAACTCTGCTCATATTTGCTTTCTTTTGTTTAAATGCCAACTGCCCATTCGAATACAAAGAGAGGTGTGTAACGTGCGTTTGGACGGCCCCTTACGACACGTGTCACCTCTCAAGGCCACGACACGTGCCGCCTCTCAAGGCCACGACACGTGCCGCCTCTCAAGGCCACCACACGTGTCACTAACCCCACGGCCGTGCGGGGTTGTGGGGGGGGGGGGGGTCTATTTGGCCATACTTCACCACGCCGGTCAACGCTGTTTGCTGAAGGCAGTGATCAATGATATCCGTATCACAGCACAACAAGCCTACGTACGCATCGTTAAACGATTCCGAGTGTGCACTGATGTACATTTTTCAATACTTTGGAATCAATTGCGGTAAATTCGTCCTCACGTGTCACAAAAGTGACGTGGATCCCCCAAAAACCCGTGACTTTGTTTTATAATCGCACTCGCGTGTGGCGAGTTTAAATATTGTGGTGAACATTTCATCTGACTACCTCGCCGAATCCATCGCCGGCGCGGCTATATTATTAACCCACGTGCCAAAAGTAGATAATGTTTAACGTGATTATAATGCAGCGTTAAACATTGGAGAATCGGCAAAAAACCCCATCAATAAATGTGCATGTTTGTTCACGGCGACAACACCGGCGTGGTCGTGTGCGGGAGGACGAGATTCGCATTAGCGATGGACCGGAGTCTTTTAAAGAGTGGGCAATATCAAATGTTCTTACTTTTCGCGGTTAGGTCGCGTCAATATATGAATGTGTCGTAAAACCCGCCACCACCACCCGACACGGCCAATAAGTAACGGGGTTTGTCACGTAAACAGAACGCGGTCAATTTCGTTACTGGAGCAGCACTAACCGGTGTGTTGGAGGGCATAGCCACAACATTTACAATCGGAGTACGACGTTTCGCCAGCAATCATCATGCAGACAGCCACATTTGTTTTTTCTTACTTTACTGGCACGATCCGAACCACAAAAGAGACATTCTATGGATTCATAAAGTTTGTCGCAAAAAGCCGATAGGGCAAGTGACTCGATGTCACCCGAGGATGAATGTAAATCACATGGACGTGTCATGGACGTGACATAGATGTGTCATGGATGTGCCATGGATGTGCCATAGATGTGTCATGGATGTGTCATGGACGTGCCATAGATGTGTCATGGATGTGTCATGGATGTGCCATAGATGTGTCAAGGATGTGCCATGGACGTGCCATAGATGTGTCATGGATGTGCCATGGATGTGCCATGGACGTGCCATGGATGTGCCATGGACGTGCCATGGATGTGTCATGTAATGTACAAAAAAATAAAGACGCCTCCTCGACCGATGGCGATCAAGTAGACTCGATGTCCCCCCGGGGATCAATGCAAATCGAATCGATGTGTCATCGATGTGTCATCGTAAAATCACGACCCCCTCCGAGAGGGATCGCGATTCGAGTTGGATTCTGTGCCCTGCCACCGGGCAGAGCCGACGCTCTCTCTCGATGCAATCCCCACTCACGTGCGTATTCACCCACAACAACTGGAAAAAATGCATTTTAAAAAAATATATATAAATTTAATTTAGCGTCTAAGATTTTTGGCCTCTCTACCGAAAAATAAAAAAAAACTTTCTGTTGAGACGTTAAAACACCAAACGGAAACCTTTTGTAAGGAATCCTGTCTGCATTAAGCACACACAGTACTTGGGGTAAACGTGTAAACAACACAAAGACACGCACTCTGGCAGTAGTAGTACTCTATATGCATCGTCTTTGAAACTGATTGTTCTACACCAGAGACGTTCTATTTAGATACTGATAAGACAAGGCCCCATGTTATAAAACCTTCTGCCGGATGTTACAAACCCCCACTTGCGTTCACTCTTCACAGGGCAGAGGGGGCAAATCCCTTAGAAGTCCCCCCACAATCGCTCTAACATTAAATATATTACACACACATACATCATCTCCGTGAAACGAAACAGAAGTGAACCCAGCAATTCGCTTTCCCTCCTTACGGGGAGGGCAACGACCTGGCAGGCAGTCACCAGCCCGAAACCTCCTCCAGTATGACAACAAAGACAAAGGTCCCCCGTGTAGCCTCTCACGGACTGTCGGGGCAAGTGCTGTCAAACGAGCAACGCCACGCCCGGCCGCCTTTGTCTCCCCCCGAGCGGCGAAGGTGTCACAAGCACCGCAGCGGATAAACTCGTTTTATGCCGAGTCTACCTAGGGGAGGTGGCCCCAGGACCGGTTTAAGATCATCGTCCACTGACGTTGTGCGATGCAGGTACTGTAACGGCAGACCCGCATCTGCGTAATGATGACACTAATTTGGCGACGTTGTCACTGTGGCCTTAAAAGAACACGTAGGAAACAGGCAACGTTTCGGGAAATGGCCCTTCTTCAGAGCATATAATGACGACAGGCGGTGTATAGGGTGCGTGCGTACCTGTGAGACGTGCGCGATTAATTCAATGTCAATACAGCAGCACACGAAGCCACCCCGAAAACAAAACAAAAACCTCTTCAATGTTTGTCCGCGGTAGGTGAACAGTTGGGTGGTAGGTGGTGAACAGTCGGTAGGTGAACAGTGGTGTGATGTGAACAGTTGTGTGGAAGGTGGTGAACAGTCGGGTGGTAGGTGGTGAACAGTCGGATGTTAGGTGACCTGTGGTGTGATGTGAACAGTTGTATGGTAGGTGACCAGCGGTGTGATGTGAACAGTTGTGTGGTAGGTGGTGAACAGTCGGTAGGTGAACAGTTGTGTGGTAGGTGGTGAACAGTCGGTAGGTGAACAGTTGTGTGGAAGGTGGTGAACAGTCGGGTGGTAGGTGACCTGTGGTGTGGTAGGTGGTGAACAGTTGTGTGGTAGGTGGCCAGTGGTGTGATGTGAACAGTTGTGTGGTAGGTAGTGAACAGTTGTGTGGTAGGTAGTGAACAGTTGTGTGGTAGGTAGTGAACAGTTGTGTGGTAGGTAGTGAACAGTCGGGTGTTAGGTGACCAGTAGTGTGATGTGAACAGTTGTGTGGTAGGTAGTGAACAGTCGGTAGGTGAACAGTTGTGTGGTAGGTAGTGCACAGTCTGGTGGTAGGTGACCTGTGGTGTGGTAGGTGGTGAACAGTTGTGTGGTAGGTGACCAGTGGTGTGATGTGAACAGTTGTGTGGTAGGTAGTGAACAGTTGTGTGGTAGGTAGTGAACAGTTGTGTGGTAGGTAGTGAACAGTCGGGTGTTAGGTGACCAGTGGTGTGATGTGAACAGTTGTGTGGTAGGTAGTGCACAGTCGGGTGTTCGGTGACCTGTGGTGTGACGTGAACGCCGGGGCAATGAGCACCGTCGCCACGTGTACCTCCCCCCACGTCGACAGCAGCCGCGGCGCTTCCGGGGTCCGGCCTCGGTGACGTCGCCGGACGCCGCAATCGCCGTTTTAGAAATCGTCAGCGGCTCTTCGTCACCACGTGGGGTGTGTGTGTGTGTGTGGTGTGTGTGTGGGTGGTGTGTGTGTGTTGTGTGTGTGTGGGGGGTGTGTGGGGGGTGTGGTGTGTGTGGGGTGTGTGTGTGGGGGGGTGGTGTGTGTGTGGGGTGTGTTGTGTGTGTGGTTGGTGTGGGGTGTGTTTGTGTGTGGGGGGTGTTTGGTGTGTGTGTGGGGTGTGTGTGGTGTGTGTGTGTGTTGTGTGTGTGGTGTGTGTGTTGTGTGTGTGTGGGGGGTGTGGTGTGTGTGTGGGGTGTGTTGTGTGTGGGGGGTGTGGTGTGTGTGTGGGGTGTGTGTGTGGGGGGTGTGGTGTGTGTGTGGGGTGTGTGTGTGTGTGGTGTGTGTGTTGTGTGTGTGGTGTGTGTGTGTGTGGGGGGTGTGGTGTGTGTGTGTGGGATGTGTGTGTGTGTGGTGTGTGGTGTGTGTGTGTGGGTGGTGTGTGTGGTGTGTGTGGTGTGTGTGTGGTGTGTGTGTGTGTGGTGTGTGTATGGTGTGTGTGGTGTGTGTGTGGGGGGTGTGTGTGGTATGTGTGTGTGGTGTGTGTGTTGTGTGTGGGGGGTGTGTGTGGTGTTTGTGTGTGGTGTGTGTAGGTGTGTGTGTGTGGTGTGTGTGGTGTTTGTGGGGTGTGTGTGTGGTGTGTGTGTCTGGTGTGTGTGGTTTGTGTATGTGTGGGGTGTGTGTAGGTGTGGTGTGTGTAGGTGGGGTGTGTGTAGGTGTGGTGTGTGTGTGTAGGTGGGGTATGTGTGTGTGGGGTATGTGTGTGTGGGGTGTGTGTGGTGTGTGTGTGTGTGGTGTGTGTGTGTGGTGTGTGTGTGTGTGGTGTGTGTGTGGGGTGTGGTGTGTGTGGGGTGTGTGTGCAGTGTATGTGTGTGGGGTGTGTAGGTGTGGTGTGTGTGTGTAGGTGGGGTATGTGTGTGTGGGGTATGTGTGTGTGGTGTTTGTGTGTGTGGGGTGTGTGTGTGTGTGGTGTGTGTGTGTGGGTGGAGTGTGTGGGTGGAGTGTGTGGGTGGAGTGTGTGGGTGGAGTGTGTGGGTGGAGTGTGTGGGTGTGGTGTGTAGGTGTGTGGAGCTGATCTGCCCTCTGACCATCGACTAGTCATCTGTAAGATGCGCCTGACATTCTTCCACTCCGGTGGTGGGTGTACACCCAGGACCCCATTCCAACCTAAAGTGGCCTGGTCTCAGTTATCTGATGAAAGTTGCAAGCGAGAATTTCATCATCGCTTGCGGCTGGGATTGGCATCGTCCCCGACTCCTCCTGATGTCGAGGGTAAATGGGCGAGGTTTAGGACTGTGACTCATGCAGCTGCAATGGCTGCTTTAGGTACGCGGTCCAGACCTCCCCAGAGACCCTGGCTGACAGAGGAGGTGTTCAGGATGGTTGAGAAAAAGCGACAGGCCCACTGTCATCGGCTACAGAATCCCACGTCAGAGAATGAGGAGGCTTACCGCAGCCTTCGCTCGGAGGTTCGGAGAGCCGTGAGGCGCTGCAAGGATGGGTGGTGGTCGCGGGTTGCTGAGGAGATGGAGTCTGCCTCAGTGGCCCGTGATCACAAATCTCTATTTAACTCCATCAAAAAAGTAACCTGCAGCGCCACACCTATTACAATCATTAGGGGAAAAAACGGTGACCCAATCTCCGACCCCCAGGAACAGGTTTGCAGATTTGCTGAGCATTTCTGTGAGGTCCTGGGGGAGGGAAAATCCCTCAGCCAGGAAAACATCTTCGCACAAAGTGAGGATGACCCTGCTGAGGCTGCGGTGCCTCAAATATTGGAAGAAGTCACCTCCTGTGAGTGGCTGGCTGAGGTGCCATCTGTTGAGGAAGTACTGAAGGCGATCCGGAGTCTGAGACCAGGAAAGGCAGCGGACAGAGATGATCTCCCAAGCGAAATGCTGAGGGAGGGCGGCGTTTGTGCACAGACTGCCCTATATGACATCATAACAACAGTCTGGACCACTGGACGGGTTCCGCAGGATTGGAAGGATGCCCTGGTGGTCCCCCTTTTTAAGAAGGGGGACCGCACAGACTGTAACAACTACAGGGGCATCTCACTCCTCAGTGTGCTGGGAAAGGTCCTGGCAAGGATTATTCAATATCACCTTGCCAGGCACACTGAGGAGAGGCTTGCGGAGCCCCAATGTGGTTTCAGGAAAGGGCGGTCCTGCACAGATGCCATATTTTCTGTCCGTCTTCTACAGCAGAGGTGTAGGGAATTCCAACAAGACCTACATCTCTGCTTTATTGACCTGGTCAAGGCCTATGATACCATCAGTAGGCCTGGGCTCTGGGTTGTTCCTCGTGCTTTTGGAGTACCTGACCCTCTGCTCACGATCATTAAGGACCTTCATGATGGTGAGCGGGCCCGGGTAAAACTACGTGGCCGGGAGTCAGAGCCATTCCCTGTACACCTTGGGGTGCGACAGGGATGTCCTCTGGCTCCCACATTATTTAACATCTATTTTGACCACGTAGTTTGTGAAGCCTTCAATAGCTGTACCGGGGGAATCTCCATATGGTACAGATATAATGGGAGGCTGATCGATGCCCGGGTGCGGTCAAGGGATGGCTCCCTATTGCTCAACCACGTTATGTATGCTGATGATTTGGTAATAGCTGCTCATTCAGAGGAGGAGTTGGAGACGCTGCTGCTGAGACTGGAGCGTGCCACTAAGAGGTGGGGCCTTACCATCAGCCCCACCAAAACTAAGCACCTGCCTGGGTATTTTGTACCATCGGACACTCCACCCCCACAACTCCCAATCGGTGATGGGGCAGTTGTGGAGAGAGTGGAGAGTTTCCCATACCTGGGCAGTGTGCTTATGACTGGCTCCAGTTTAACAGCAGAGGTCTCACTCCGAATCAGTCGAGCGGCAATATCTTTTCATCGGTTGCGTAACGCTGTGTGGAAGCTACCTGGTCTGTCGCTCCACACTAAGCTTCAGGTCTTCTCGGCCACGGTCATTCCCTCCCTTCTCTACGCTTGCAAAACGTGGACCTCCCTAATGGAACATCTTCGCCGGTTAGAAACATTTAGGCTGGCCTGCCTACGATCCATCCTGGGTTTAACCAGACTGGATTGTGTGAGGAGCTCACAAATCCTTGAAAGATCTGGGCAAGGTCCCATCGGTGAGCTCCTCCGGCGGGGAAGGCTGCGATGGCTGGGTCATGTAGCCCGCATGCCCAGCCACCGCATGCCGAAACAGCTTTTGTTCGGCCGGATTGAGGGGGCTAAGCGGGCGCGGCACGGGCTAGAGAAGAGATGGAGTGATGTGGTGCAGGAGAACGTGGAGCTGAGTGGACTTGCCGATGACTGGTACCAGCGGTGTCAAGATCGGCCTCTGTGGAGGAGGCTCGTGAAGGACGCTACTGGGCAGTTGGAGGTAGTCGCCCTCCAACAACAACGCAGGGCGGAGGAGGGACGCTCAGAACAACGAGCGGAGCGCTGGGTGGCTAAAGCACAGCAGGTTGGCACAGTAGGGGGCACAGGTGGTGCATCAGCCAGTCATCTCAGTCAGTCGACCCGTGGCACCTGGGTCTGCCCTGTGACCTCCTGCCAGCGGGCGTTCGACACTTCACGTGGCCTCAGGGTGCACATAGACTGGCACAAGCGTCGTGGTGACGTCATCGCCACTTAGTGGCGAATGGCGGTTGTTGTTGTGTTTGTGGGTGGTGTGTGGTGTGTAGGCGTGGTGTGTAGGTATGGTATGTGTGATGTGTGTGTGGTGTGTTTGGGTGTGGTATGTGTGTTTGGTGTGTGTGTGGTGTGCGTGGTGTATGTGGTGTGTTTGGGTGTGGTGTGTATGGTGTGTGTGTAGTGTGTGTGGTGTGTGTGGTGTGTATGGTGTGTGGTGTGTATAGTGTGTGGTGTGTATGGTGTGTGTGGTGTATGTGGTGTGTTTGGGTATGGTGTGTATGGTGTGTGTGGTGTGTATGGTGTGTGTGTGGTGTGTGTGGTTGTTTGTGGTGTGTATGGTGTGTGTGATGTAGGTGTAGTGTGTGTGGTGTGTATGGTGTGTGGTGTAGGTGTAGTGTGTGATGTGTATGGTGTGTGTGGTGTAGGTGTAGTGTGTGATGTGTATGGTGTGTGTGTATGTGGTGTGTGTGGTGTGTATGGTGTGTGTAGTGTGTATGGTGTGTATGGTGTGTGGTGTGTATGGTGTGTATGTGGTGTGTGTAGTGTGTGGTTGTTTGTGGTGTGTATGGTGTGTGGTGTAGGTGTAGTGTGTGTGGTGTGTATGGTGTGTGTGGTGTGTGGCTTTAAGAATTAAACAAATATAAAAAATAGGCGACGACGTTCTAGGCAATGGTCCTTCTTCACAGCATGTATGGCTGCATGCGTTGAATTTCATCGCACAGTTTTTCCTCACTTGAGAAATATAAGCTCGGGGTTTTTCATTTGGAATCTGAGTTAAAAAAATAATCTGAATATGTATTGATACTGGGGGAATCCGATGAGCTACAAAATATAAATATTCTGATTCTGACAGTATATATTTGGTGCAATGTCATTTTCTCGATCAATTGATGCATGCTTGTTACACCCCTTAATGTTTAAACGCAAATACAACGCACGTCGAGGCTTTATAATCGTTCGGCAAGTATTTATTGGGTGAATGGGAATGTACAATTCCACCAAGGGATCTCGGGTCCTGCGAGTGGAGTGCGAGGACTGTAGTTTACCAGGCGATTCCAATCAAGAACCAATTCTCTACCCGACCGTATTGCCATTGTGGTCGCATCAGCGCCTCCAGTGGCTGCAGAGATCACGAGAACCGATCTCGCACGACAGACACGAATCGCGAGTAATCGCTTCTTGTGTACGCTGGGTCATTACATAATCTTCATCATCAGTCAAGATTCATAAGACTGTTCGGTGCTGTTAGCGAGCACCTCTTGAGGCCGGCACTGTGCACAACGGGACGCATTTTATCTCCACAGTGCTGGAAGTTTATTAGCAGCGCCAGGTACTAATTTAAGTCTGAGTCGACCTAGGGGAGGCCCAGGCCCACGACCAGTTCAGACAATCGTCATAGGGAACTCGGTTCGCCATGTTCATAGCGCAGCGCGCTAACCACTGCACGAACGCTCCCACGCATACACGCGCACACACGTCACACATTAAACAGTCGTCGGTACCTTGCAGAACAGGTCGTAGCAACGAGCAAACATTTCAATAAGCAACATTTTTCAAACACGTTCAGCCCTATAGGATTTCATTCAACAACAAAAAATCCATCAACTTCCACATTCTAAAAGCTAGCGCCTATTTATTTGCCCGTGGCACACGCCGAGGGAAGAGAGAAGGAATGGGAATTTAGACGAAAATGATGGAAGAAGAATGGAGAAACGGGTGGCTAGGGGGTCAGGAGAGATGGGGGGGGGAGAGGTGGGAGAGGCTGCATCAGGGCCTCGATGCTGCTGCTGCTGCTGCTGCACAGAGGAAAGTGTGTTTTCAAAGTTGGGCGGGGAGAGAGGAAAGGGATTCAGAGTGGGAGGGAGTTCAACATAAGTCACGTGAATTACGGGAGGCTCGAGCCGATTGAGATGTTATAGCTGGGGGGAGTGGTGGTGCAGTGGTTGGTGCATCGAGCCATTTAGAAATCAAGGCTTGGCTTTATTGAAACAATGGCAAACGTTTATCCAATCTCAACCCCCTCTGTCCCCACAACAGTATAAATGTATAGATGTGTGTGCAACGATGATCATGGGAGATACAGTGGAGAGATGTTAACTACCTTGCCTGGTATACAGGAGGTTGTGGGTTCGATCCCGAACCTGACGCCTGCTGTATATTTGCAGTTTGCGTGTTCTACCCGTGGTCGAATGGATTTTTCTCCGGGTCCTCTGGTTTTTATCTCCACATTTAGAAACAAGCCTTTAGAGTATTTGGCTGCTATACATGTTTCACGTGATAAGCTACTTCCTTGAGCTAAAATTTGTGGCCAGGTCGCTCGTGAAAAAGAGCTTTATAGCTCAGTGGGCCTCACCAGGTAAAATAAAAAGTTAGTTTAGTTTATGTAAAAAATAGTTTGCTTTAAATGTGGGCACACGTACTTCTTCGAAGATGTCTGGCTGGCGTGGAAAAGTAGGCCAAGTACCTTCCAGAGGGGCTCTCTACAGCTCCCTCTCGGAGTCCCTTCCGCCGGCATTGACGTGAGCAAGTAATTGCAGGGCTGCACCTTTATACTTTACATTCTATGCATATTCTGAAGCACTTGGGGTAAGCGGCATTGTTTGGTCGGTGCGTGCGTGCCAGATTCGAACAGCCGAGTCGACAGCGGGCACAAGTTTGGGGCGCGTCGCCCTCTCTCCGAAGCGTCATAATCCAGTGACATCGTCACGTCGAACCGCGACCAACAAGCCGTATCTCCCCCCCCCCCGCCCCCCCACCGATCACCACCCCCTGCTGCTCCCCCCAACCCCCTACAGCAGCCGGGATGGTGTTGGGGGGGTCTCAGAGAGCCAAAGCGAGCCAGCCGGCGATGAGGCACATGCCGCCGAACGGCGTGATGGAGCGCACGCGCCCGTCGGCCAGCTCCAGCGCGTGCGCGTAGCAGCTGCCGCAGAAGAGCACCGTGCCGGCCGTGAGCAGCGAGCCGGCCTGCGAACAAGGGCCACCAATTAAGGACCGGCCACCAATCTCGAGTCATGCACCGCAACCGTAGCTAACGTCATTGTCCCACTTTGATCGTTCGTTTGGTGGCGTTTGAAACATCCACCGTGTGGCTGCTGCTCCTGGAACGGCGTCTTTGCAAATATGCAACCGTGGCTCTCAATGTGGAGCCACGGTGGTGAGATGTTAAATACCTCGCCTGGTATACAAGAGGTCGTGGGTTTGATCCAGACCCTGACTGCAACTGCTGTGTGTTTGCGTGTCTCTCCCTCTCACCATGGTCGCGTGGATTTTTCTCCAGGTTCTTGGGTTTTTCCCACCACGTTTAGAAACGTGTCTATAGTGTTTGGCTGTTATACATTTCCACGTGATAAGTCACTTTGTTGAGCGATCCTTTGTGGCCAGGTCTATTCTGGAAAAGAGCTATATAGCTCTCAGCAGGCCTTACCCGGTAATATTAAAAGTTTTCGTTTTTTTTAGTTTATAAAAATTCCCGGGGCAAGTGCTCTTTGCAGGCATCTGCAAAGGCTGGCACAGCACACGAAGAGCGTGGGCGGCCAGCAGTAACGCCCGACCGCCTTTGTCTCCCAAGTGGTGGTGTTTACGCACCGCACCAAAAACTCATTTGAGGTTGGGTCGACCTAGGGCAGGCAGAAAATGTTGTGAAGCTCCCATCCCGTGGGCGTCGAGGAGGTACCACACCCCTGGCTCACCAGGAGGAGGCGGTACGGCAAGCGGACTGATCGCCATCTCTTTCCGTCTGTACGGGGGATCGAGCGTTGCCCCATCGCGCAAGGCGTGGGCTTTTCTCGGGGCCCTCCCGTTTCCTCCCCCACGTTGTATGATAAACGCAACTCGTCGCCATTAATCGGCTGAACACATTACGAATATAATGAGCCAAGAATGTCCGTGTGTAACGAGCGTGACTTCACTCCACGTCGACCAGCCCCCCTCATTAATAATCATGAACGGGTGACGTCACTCCACATGACGCCCCCCTCATTAATAATCATGAACAGGTGGGGTCCTCCCCTGTCATTAATAATCATGAGCGGGTGACGTCACTCCACATGAGGCCCACCCCCCCCCCCCCATTAATAATCATGAGCGGGTGACGTCACTCCACATGAGCCCCCCCCTCATTAATAATCATGAGCGGGTGACGTCACTCCACATGCCGCACCCCTCCCCAATAACCATTAGCGGGTGACGTCACTCTACATGGGGCAACCCCCCCCCACATTAATAATCATGACCTCAACAATTTTTCTATTGAATATTTCAGATTTACTGCAATATACACCCGGGCAAACAAGCTAGTCTCAAAATAAAAACTCAATGCATCATCAGGAACCCTCCTGAATAAGGGGGCGATCAGGTGGGGCGGGGGGGGGGGCAGCGGGGGGCACCCTCACCAGGATGGGCCGCCGACAGTGTGGGACCCCCAGCAGAGCCAGCGTGTGGATGAAGTGATAGCGATTCGCGGTGTCGTACGTCTGCGGACCACGACAATAACAAAACACAAATTATAAAGTATATCTGGGCATTTGCATTGATAATAATACTGTAATAAAACAATCATATTAAAACGGTAACACTCTGGAAGCCAGACTGACTGAGAGAGAGAGAGAGGGAGTCTTTCCAGTTATAAGGCACATTTGGGTCAACTGCAATTAAATGGAATTCGGTTCAGTTTAATTTGGTGACGCGGGTGAATAACATGCTGTCATAGGCTGCTTGCAAGACAGATCAGTGGAGTACTTTGTAAGAGATGTCAAATTTTTTTTGAGTCTTTCGGTAAAGTCACGTAGATAGGCTCCAAGAAAATAACAAAAAAAACTACGACGTTTCGATCACAACCCAAGCGGCAACTGCACCTGTGCCTTACAAGGTAACCCAGCACCTGGCCTGCAAGGCGACATTAGTTTGCCAGTAGGGGGGCGATGATTGCTACGTGTACATTCAATCGAGTGATTTTTGCACCGTAATTTTTCTAACTTGGTCAACGACGTCGGCAGGCGATGGCCTACTCTTGCGGACGACGCCGCTGGAATCGTTGACGTCCACTGCGAAACAGACGCTGCATGTCTACGGTTGACACACCCTGCCGTGTTAACCAGGGCCACCTACCGGATTCGAACCGCGAACCTCTGCAACACGGTGAGGTGAGCATGCTAAGACTGTGCCATGTGACCGCCCCAACCCTTTATTATTGTACCCTGCGGATTCAAATAATCCTTTACCGTCATGGCTGTGCATGGCTATAATGCAGACACTGGTGGTGGCGCTGTAGCACCAACCTGTTGCTGATTTTCGTCGGCTTGACCCAACTTGAACGCTGCGTATGGAGAGACAAAAGAGACAGCAGCAACTCAGCAACTCCCGAGTTGGTATCCGAGCCGTGGTTCAGGGCGTTCGACTCGTGGACGAGCCATTCTTTTGCGAATTGGGTAAACATAAAAAAATATTTAACGTCACCGTGATTTACCCCAGGTGGGACTCGAACCCACAATCCCTGGCTTAGGAGGCCAGTGCCTTATCCATTAGGCCACTGGGGCTTCACGCAGACGGACAGACACACACACTTACTGCACTCATACAGAGATCCCCCCGGGTGAGTCTTAACAGACTGTTGACACACAAAGCCAGGTACTCATTTGAAGCTGAGTCGACCTGGGGGAGGCCCAGCACCGGTTCAGATAATCTCCACCGCGGTGTGTTGGGTGGCCGTGAGCGACAAATCGAACTCGGGTCGCCGACCGGTTTCGTAGCGCAGAGGCACTCCAGCAAAGGCTCCAGGAACAGTCAGTGGCGGTGGCAGTCACAGCCGCGCCTGTGCCAGCCTAGGTGCCGCTTTAGCCAACACGCAACAACTCACTGTGGGCATTGTAGGCGCCTGCCGAAACTGCGAGAGCTCCCGAGACCCCAGCCAGCCGCACGAACACTCTGCCCGCGGTCATCTCAAATGCCACCCCCCCCCCTGTGATAATGCCCTCTAATTGAACGTTGCGATTGACCCAGAGCTTGTGGCTCTTTCCTCGCGGGGCCTTCGGGGGTCGGTGAGAGGGGGAGGGGTTTTGAAACGGCCTGGGCAGAGAGGGAGAACACAAAAGCGGTCGCTGCGCTGCGTTTGCGACCTTCCCCAGCGCGGAAGGCAGGAAGCGCGTGCGAGGAAGGACGTCACGCGGAAAAAAAGCCACGTGGCCGCGCCACGGATTGAATCACCACTGCGCTCATCGCTGGCTTTGGCGAGGCAGCCGTCCAGCAGTGGATTGGTCAAGGCTGGTCACGACGATGGCGATGATGGCACGTTTTTACACTCATCACTGGCCTGGGAGGCCTCCATCCGACAGTGAATTGATCAAGGGTGATGATGATTATGGCACATAATCATTATTGGCTTGGGGTGGCATCCTCCAGCAGTGAATTGATCAAGGCTGATGATGATTATGGCACATTACACTCATTACTGGCTTGGGAGGCCTCCATCCGACAGTGAATTGATCAAGGCTGATGATGATTATGGCACATTACACTCATCACTGGCTTGGGGTGGCATCCTCCAGCAGTGAATTGATCAAGGCTGATGATGATTATGGCACATTACACTCATTACTGGCTTGGGAGACATCCATCCAGCAGTGGATCAAGGTTGATAATGATTTTAGCACATTTTTACGCTCATTATTGGCTTAGGGAGGTCTCCATCCAGCATTGGAGTGATCAAGGTTGATGACGATTATGGCACATTACACTCATTACTGGCTTGGGAGACATCCATCCAGCAGTGGATTAATCAAGGTTGATCAAGATGACTATGGCACATTTTTACACTCATTACTGGCTTAACATCATAGCATTGCAGGTTGGTGGGTGTGTGAACAGATTTGTAGACGCATAGCCCGAATATTTCTTCTGCTAATTCTCTTTCTCCGCAGCTTACGCTAATGGTCGTTTGCTATCATGATGCCGATTCATCAACGGTTAACAACTGGCCAATATTTGAACTGGTGCTGAGCCTTACGTAGGTTCACTCAGCCTTAAATGAGTATCTGGTGCGGTGTGTAGTGACAACTGGCACTGGGGAGACAAAGGCGGCCGGGCGTGGTGCTGACCACTCACTCCCTCGTGTGCCATGCCGGCCTTTATAGGCGCTACTCGCTAGCAGCTTTTGCCCCATAAGTCTAAGGTCTCTGTCTATGGGTGCAGGAGATTGTGTGTCCATGGGAAGCCCCAGTGGCCTAATGGATAAGGCACTGGCCTCCTAAGCCAGGGATTGTGGGTTCGAGTCCCACCTGGGGTAATCACTGTGTTTTTTAAAGTAAAGTTTTATATTCTTAATTTCACTTCCAGCAATTGCTCTTGGTTTGCATACCGTCTTGTATTATTAGTTTAAGTTGTGTCCCTTCAGCAAAAGTATTTTTTTGTGAGCGGTGGGAAAGTGGTTAGCACACTGCCCTTCGAAAACCCGGTGACCTGAGCTCAATTACCGGACAAAGGCTACAATGAGCGGCGAGTGATAGCAGACTCTAGGTTGACTCAGCCTTGAAATGAGTACAGTACAGTATACAAATGTACCTGTACAGGCCATTGTAAATCCACCGCTGGATGAAGGCCAGCTCCCCACGACATATAGGTCATGAGCGTTGTTTGGCCAGTGCGTGTTGAAGGGTTTGAATTAATATCACTCAATCTTGATTTGAAGCTTATAATGCCTCGTCCACAGCAGTCTGATTCTCTCACCTGAAGACGGTCGCTTGTTGTTGCGATCGAATTGTCGTGATCGATTATTTTTTGTACCTACGTGACTTTACCGAAAGAACCAAATAGTATTAATATCACTCGCCAATTATTTTAGCCGTGAACGAGAATCGAACTCGGGCTGGCCAGGTTCAGAATATGTGTACTGGAGGAATCCGATGAGCTCTAAAGCTCTTTATCGCAGATGCCCACAGCGGAGTGCGCTAACCACTGCGCCACCACTCCCACCCCGGATTGATATGCAAGCCGTATCAATCGTCGGATTTTCAGGTCACCGTTCAAACAAACAATCGATTATTTTGTGCCTCGCTTGTTTGTATTTTATGCGTCCCATCCGTTACATTTACCTAACGGAATAATTGGCCTAAATTTATTTTATAAACGACGAGCCCTTTCTCCCATCCAAGGACGGGTGTATTGCAGTAAATCTGAAACTTGCAAGCGAAAAGCAGACCGCGATGTAATATTCATTGCATCAATTCGTGTGCAATTTGTAAGGGCGCGGTGATACAGACTTGTTTCATTTGAAGGTTATAATCCCTTGTTCATCATGACGTCCTTTTTATTATTATATTATAAGCTTTTTATTAAGTCATTCTGTCTGTTGTATCCTCAAATCTTGTAACTCAATTTTTAACCCACTTCCCAATGTGGTATCGACTGCAAACTTGGTATTCAGTGAGGGAAAAAAAGTATTTGATCCCCTGCTGATTCTGTACGTTTGCCCACTGACAAAGAAATGATCAGTCTATAATTTTAATGGTAGGTTTATTTGGACAGTGAGAGACAGAATAACAACTTAAAAAATCCAGAAAAATGCATGTCAAAAATGTTATAAATTGATTTGCATTTAATGAGGGAAATAAGTATTTGACCCCCTCTCAATCAGAAAGATTTCTGGCTCCCAGGTATCTTTTATAGAGGTACGAGCTGAGATTAGGAGCACACTCTTAAAGGGAGTGCTCCTAATCTCAGCTTGTTACCTGTATAAAAGACACCTGTCCACAGAAGCAATCAATCAGATTCCAAACTCTCCACCATGGCCAAGACCAAAGAGCTCTCCAAGGATGTTAGGGACAAGATTGTAGACCTATACAAGGCTGGAATGGGCTACAAAACCATTGCCAAGCAGCTTGGTGAGAAGGTGACAACAGTTGGTGCGATTATTCGCAAATGGAAGAAACACAAAAGAACTGTCAATCTCCCTCAGCCTGGGGCTCCATGCAAGATCTCACCTCGTGGAGTTGCAATGATCATGAGAACGGTGAGGAATCAGCCCAAAACTACACGGGAGGATCTTGTCAATGATCTCAAGGCAGCTGAGACCATAGTCACAAAAAAAAAACTATTGGTAACACACTACACCGTGAAGGACTGAAATCCTGCAGCACCCACAAGGTCCCCCTGCTCAAGAAAGCACATATACATGCCCGTCTGAAGTTTGCCAATGAACATCTGAATTAATTAGAGGACAACTGGGTGAAAGTGTTGTGGTCAGATGAGACCAAAATGGAGCTCTTTGGCATCAACTCGCTGTGTTTGGAGGAGGAATGCTGCCTATGACCCCAAGAACACCATCCCCACCGTCAAACATGGAGGTGGAAACATTATTCTTTGGGGGTGTTTCTCTGCTAAGGGGACAGGACAACTTCACCACATCAAAGGAACGATGGACAGGGCCATGTACCGTCAAATCTTGGGTGAGAACCTCCTTCCCTCAGCCAGGACATTGAAAATGGGTCGTGGACGGGTATTCCAGCATGACAATGACCCAAAACACACGGCCAAGGCAACAAAGGAGTGGCTCAAGAAGAAACACATTAAGGTCCTGGAGTGGCCTAGCCAGTCTCCAGACCTTAATCCCATAGAAAATCTGTGGAGGGAGCTGAAGGTTTGAGTTGCCAAACGTCAGCCTCGAAACCTTAATGACTTGGAGAAGATCTGCAAAGAGGAGTGGGACAAAATCCCTCCTGAGATGTGTGCAAACCTGGTGGCCAACTACAAGAAACGTCTGACCTCTGTGATTGCCAACAAGGGTTTTGCCACCAAGAACTAAGTCATGTTTTGCAGAGGGGTCAAATACTTATTTCCCTCATTAAAATGCAAATCAATTTATAACATTTTGACATGCGTTTTTCTGGATTTTTTTGTTATTCTGTCTATGTTCAAATAAACCTACCATTAAAATTATAGACTGATAATTTCTTTGTCAGTGGGCAAACGTACAAAATCAGCAGGGGATCAAATACCTGTTTCCCTCACTTTACTTATGTCATACTGATGACAATAATATTCTATCATAAAAATATATATTTGTAAACATTTTTTATATGTTATGTTTCGGCTTGGGTCTAATTGTCCACGGTAAACTGACGTTGGCTGTAATTGGCCATGGTCCCCCTTACGTTGTGGCAAGCTTCGGGGCCACTTCCTGGACTCGTGGAGTTCTGCCATTACGAGGAAGATACATTTCATTAAAGCGTGTTTAAAAAAAAAGTTTTTTTTAAAGTATTACTTATTACTTCGATGCCTTAACAGCGTTACAGAGATCGCGTGACGTGAGGGTTCTGACTTTGTAGTGAGGGTTGTGAGTTGACGCCGAGGAGGGGGGAGGAGGCGCCTCGGCTCCCCATGTAGTGACGTCAGCCCCTAATTATTATGAATGGAGGCGGGGGGGTCCATTTGGAAGACGTCACCTGCGCCATGATTATTTAATGGGGGCGGCTGGTAGACGTGGAGTGACGTCACACGTGTTACATACTGACATTCTTGGGTAATATTTACTCTTTGGTTCTTTCGGTAAAATCACGTAGGTGTAAAATAAAATACATCACGTTTCGGGCGCAACACAAGCATCCATCATCAGGCGAGAAAGCTTCAAATCAAGATTCTTGGGTATAGTAGTACTCGGGGTTGTTTGGGGGGCGCCTGCGGCTCCCCCGAACAACCATTTACAGCATTCGGCCAGGAAAGTAAATAAAAATTGCACACGAACGACGCATTCACGCAAGCACCCGATGCTCCGTTTTGAAATTTTAAAATGAAACATCTATGAATTGTATTTAATTAGATAATTGTATTTCTTCATTAAAAGCTTATATCATTTTACATCTGGAAGACTTAATTGAAATGGACATTTCGTGTGAATTCTCTCTCGTCGTTAAGTAGATGGCCTTGCTGGGGGTTCGGTTCGATGCGGACTTTCACCTGGTTGGGATTGCGGGATCGAGATAAGGCGACACAGGGCTGGCCGTGCGAGAAGACCACCGTCTGCAGATCGATTCCAACGTAATCGAACGTCTGTCCCTGCGCCTCCGTCGACGGAAAGTGCAGCATTCATTACAGATAAAGTTGTGCACTAATGAGTATTCCTACCGAACACATGCATCAATAACACCTTGTAGACGTAAGAGGAATATATAATAGGTGACGACTCGGGCAACGACCCATCTTGGTAGCACGCAAGGCCATACAGATAGCAAACACGAATTTGAAAATGCACTTCAGACCATGGGGTATTTTTTTCTAGTTTTTACTTTTTAAATTGCCATTACATTATCTACTCGCCACTATTGAATCAATCACATATCTGTCAA